TCAGAAGTTAAATTACTGCCAACAAGTGAGGAGAGGAACATTTATAAATGCACTGTCAGATTAAACAAATATCCCTTATCTACAAGTTTTGTGTTATTGTCAGTAATGGCTAGAAAACATGCAAAAGTACATCAATTTATCATACTAGGGCATATATAGTTGTAAGTGACACATGAAGCATGGAAATGGACTTGCATATATCTGAAATTGCCTTTGTGAGTTACTATTTGATGTGTCTATCAGAGCTGAAGGGAGACTAACACAGGCTAAACATGGATAGAAACAGAGGGTGATTTGGGGATTGGTGATAATTTGGTTACAAAGCATTCTCTGGAGTTTTTCTCAAGTCTGGAGCAAATATGCGTGACAGGCTTGGGACTTCAGTAATCAGAAATTTTCTGGGGAAAAGATGAAAACAGATTTTACTTGTATCAGTGCAATTGCTGCAGGGACCATTTTGTTTAATCTGAGCTTGTATGGATTTGGGAAAATATTGTCGCTTAGCATTACAGCAGTATGGATGCCCCCTCTGTCTCCCTACCATCACTTGGGGAAAATGCCTTTTAGGAAATGCTTTGGTTTCATGCTACTACTTGAGGCTGCACAAGAAAAAAGGGGCCAAGGAGCAAAGGGTTGCAGTGGGTGAACCAGTTTGAATCACCTAGAAATACTCCAAGTTTAAGGCAGAGAAGGGGAGGAACAAACATGTCTGTGGACACACAGAAGCTTTTAGTAACCAGGACAGCCAACCCTGCACTTTTCATTTGTCAGTATAGTGTGCCTCTTTCCTGAGCCCTTTGATTGCTGATGCCTTATACAGCACCTACATATGGTTCGTTTCAGCAATATCTAATTTTTTTTTTTAGGCTGCCTGTTGAGGTAATGCTGCAGCTGATTCAAGATCAACATCACTTTGGCATTTCGGAATTGCAGCGTATGGGCTAAAATCTACATCACATATAATTTAAATGCTTCATGGTAGTAATCCCATGATGCTGCCCTGCAGAATTCTGGGTTGCCCCCCGTCATACACGTGGTGGCTGGGACACTAAGGGCCCAGCAGATCACCCTGGCTGGGATAGAGGAACGCTGCACTCCCAGCATGCAGCACTGCCACAGACAGCAGCCTCTTGGGATGTGCCCTCTGTGTCAAAACTTTCCAGACCAGTTGTGTTTTTATTATATTAACATCACAGATAAAAGCAAAGCTTTCATTTTTCAGGGATCAGCCCATGCCCTGAAGTTCAGTTCTGGATCTTGGCTTTTCTACTGGTCAGGAATGTTCTCACCCTAAATGTTTTACTCTCCCTTTTAGCTAAAATGTGTAAGTGTTCACACAGAACATATATTATACGGTACATGCTGCCATAACCTCCAGCAGTACCATGCAAGTATCCATGCCCACCACTGACTCCTAAACATGGATAGTGCTGGCTTTGCTACACACTGAAACAAAATTACATGATGAATGTATTACATGTGGCATCAGAATCTGTCCTTTAGAGGACAAGTAGGTTGAGTTCAATAGAGGTTAAATCGTAATAAATTCCATCCACTCCAGTATGCACGTCCCACTTAAAACTCCATAGAGCAAGGCAAACACCTCATTGTCTGTGCTTTAGACTCTGGCCAGAGTGGCATTCACACTGTGAATTATATACAGATAATTATAGCATGTATCTTTTTAGAACAGTTTCCATAAGCAAAGAAATTGCAGGAATGGTGTTACTCATCAGATACAAGCAGGCCATTTTATTTTCTTTTGAAATGTTCTAGTTGGAAAATTATTCTGCACTGTTGCCTGAGCTTGGTAATACTGCTGCAGGGATTTACCTTGTTTTGTTTGATTTGGGTTTTATTTGCTCAGCATATACTGCTTATGACTCAGGTTCTCACTTGGTAAATACTGGTGTGATGAAGTCCACTTTGTGGATGTACTTAGATCCCGTATATCTCTTAGAGCAAACAAAAATTTGTGCATGAGGGAGAAAGCTGCACTGAGGTGTTCTGGCTGATACTCTGACAGCCACATTAACAGAAGCAGCCCTCTTTATTCCGCTCTCTAGATTGTAACTAACATCTCATCTACAGCTACTCTTTACTGGATGGAGGATGTGATGAGGGGACCAGTGGTTTTGCATGTAGCTTAAAACATTTTTGGTAGAGAACCACCTAAGTGCTCTCTGCTCACAGTACAGGGGAAGAAAGGAGGTCCTGGGGGACCAAGCTGAAGCCCTTTCAGAGCTTGTTGTGTTTGGGTTTCCCTCTGCAGCTTCACAAGCAGGGAAGATCTTTCTCTTGGCTATTTTCTTCTGCCTCCTTGCTGTCTTCTGAGCTGTTTCCAATGCATGGAGCACTATGGTGAACCAAATCAACAAGCTTTCCTGAGCTAAAATCCCCTCTGTCCAATTATTTATTTATTGTCCTATATAATTTGTAGCTTGGATTAACTCTTTGGCATGGTTCCCTGAGAGGTCCCATAGGAGTGGGAGAGGGAGAAGTGCAAGAGTAACCATGCCCTCTGACTGCTGCCTCAATCTTGACTTAGTAAGCAGTGAAATAGTCTGTCTTTCTCAAGACAGCTGGCCCAAGTTCAGAGCTCCAACACTTGTCTGATCCCAAGAGAAGCACATTCAAATGAATGCAGTTTGTCTTAGGGGTTGTTTCAGCAAGCTGGGCTGTTTTACTCTATGATCTGCATAGTCGGTCGAGGGCACAGGTCACCAGGAGGATGCCACCAGGGAAAGCTCCTCCTTCCAGTTGTCCTTTGGTTCAGATGAAGCATAAACACTGCAGCTTTTGCTTTGGGCCTGTCTTGAGTGTTGGGGCAGATCTTTGCTGGTAACCTCAGAGATGCCACAAGTGCATCAGGTACATTTGGGGACCCTGAAGACCACAGCAGGATGACTTATATGTTTTTATTTCTGTGAGCAGGCTAAAGTGCACCTGTTCCTGCACTGTGTTGGAGTGCTCTCCAAAATCACACTATTCTAAAGATCAAATATAGGATGCCTAAACTGAGCATCCAAGCTGAGGGTTTGAACAGTCTGAGAATATGTAATTACTGGTTTTTCCTTGGCTGTAGGATAATATTGCTTAAAATGCCAGATGCCCTCTGGGATGACTCCTTGACTTTTCCAGTCAGTTCAAAGACTCTTCATCCCTGTCCCCAACAGCAACATATATTCCAGACCAGATTAGCCATATGACAGCATTTCTAACTTTCAAAATGTGACCACTCTGCAGAATAAAAACCTACCCATGACTCTGATAATTTGTGGTCCTTGTACTTGAAGCACACATCAAATACAGATTTGAAGTACGAACACAATGCAACAGTTAAGTTTGAAACTGGAACAGAAACTAAAACAGAAAATCCCACTTAGAATTTCTAAAGTAAGTGTTAAGAAATTCAGAAATTCAAAATATATAAAAAGGGTCAAGCAGCTTAGATGATTTACTCAGAGCCTGTCACAGTGTTCCCATTTACCAGCAGTTGTCGCTCTGATTCCAAACACTGTAATGTTTCACTAGATGTACAATGAGAAAGAACTGAGGAATGTGAATGAACAGCCTTGCTTTAAAGATGGTCCAGAGTATTTAATCTGTTATCACTGTAACTCCTAATGCTGATGATTGTACTGAGAAGTACCACATGTTCAGTGAATAGTTTTGATGATTGGTAAGCGTGTTTTTATCACTGTCATTACGTTGTTTTTCCTACTAATAAAGCATCAGTTGTTCGGTAAATCTTCAACAGGTGTTGTCTTTTGTTACTAGAACTGAAACATATTTCCAGCTTTGTCAAGAGTCTTTGTTATTTGCTTTGCAGCACCCCAGTTTGTGATTGGTGCTTCTGTGAATTATGGCTCTACAAAAGTACCGTTTCTTGTATTCATTTCTCCAAGTTAAAAGAATATAATTCTTTCAATATGGAAAGCTGTGCAGTCAGGCTGGGGTTGCATTATGCACACAATGAGATAACAGCCTCCTTTTGCTCCCACCAAAGAGCAAAGTGGAGCTGAAGGAGCCTCTGGAAGGGGTTGTGAAGTTTTTTACCACATTGTCTTCTATATAATTCTCCTTTGCTGTGTATTAGCATAACTGAGAGATATGTTCATTTGACCCCTGTAGGGATAGCACAGGGAATAACTGTATGAGTACAAATTTTTTCAGGGTTGTGTCTGGTGTTTTTCTTCAGAGCAAGTTTGAATTTTGCTCACTCATTGCAATCAACTACAATGTTGGTAACTTTTTTCCAGTTCCTCTAGATTTAATAAAGCACAGTAATATAATTTCAGGAGGGGATTAATTTTTCCATTGTGCTGTTATAAATATTTGGAATCTCACTGGTGCTCTGTGTGACACCTCTTCCTTCCCCACCAGGCAGAAGTGGATTTGAGTGCCAAAGATGAATATGCCAGAAAATCTCCTGAATTTGTCATACTCCCAAAATGTCAGAGTGGCAAGAAATGTGTAAGCCCTGGAGGTTCAGTTAGACCTTAAAACCTGAATATGTAGCTTAAGGGGTCCTTTAGGAAGCTCCCTTTCCTCCCTCTGGGCTTACAAGAAGACCCAATGCCCCTGAAAGTACTGTAAAATAGGTCCTCAGAAAAATCACCTTTGGTGATACCTGGCAGCATGCCAGTTTCAGTAGTGTTCAGTGGAACTGTATGAATGTCCTCTCTTCAGGAACTGAGTTATGTCTGTGATGCAGAAAACTTAGTGCTGCCTATGTACAAAAGGCTCATATTAGAGCTTATCTATAACAGAAAGTGATGGATGGTTATTCCAACTCTAAATTCTGGTACATCTCTGTCCCTGGGAAACACGGCATATTCCTAAACTGTTGCCATTGGGGTCATGACAGATAATATTCTAGTTTCATATGAAGCTGATGCTTAACTTACTGTGGTGCTTTTAAAGATAAGTGAGCAACAAGTCTTTGCCCTGTAGTTATTTTTCCTTTCCTTCATGGAGCTTTCTCCTTTCCTCCACAGTTTGTCAAGGGACAAATAACAAGCTGACTCAGCTGGGACATGTGGAAGACCATTTCACCAGCCTGCAGAGGATGTACAACAATTGCGAGGTGGTACTCAGCAACCTGGAGATTACATATGTGGAGCACAATCGTGACCTCTCTTTCCTGAAGGTCAGTGTTCATGACCAATGGGGCCTTCTTTGCTACAAAACATCCTACTCCATTTTTTAAGTGCAAAGGATGAGCTGCTGATAAAATTCTGTGGTGATCCAAAAACATAGCTAGCTAAGGTCAGAGGAATCGCAGCCTACAGTCTAAGCATACCTATAGGCTGCAGGATGCGCTCGACCCTACTAAAAAAGTCAGGTACTTTGAGAAATAGCTTTTCAAGCACTTGCCAGCCTGTGCTGGGTGCCATGCAGATGGGTTTCTTCTCATTTGTAATTAGAATTACATTCTTACCTATTACCTCACTTCTCAGAGAGCAAAAGGCTTTGTGGTGCTGTTGGGCAAAGCAAAGCACACTGCAAATGGCAAACTGTGAACTGTGGAGGCCTTTTCCCTGCCCTCCACACTGCGATCTCTTCCCCTGCCATGGTGGTGAGTCCTTCTCCAGCCTGAAGTGCTCACACCCTCAGCAGGCAGGCAAGTCCTGCGCAATAACTTCCCACATGGATTCTTGAAGTGATCTTCAAGATAATCCCCTGTGATTGACACATGGACTACTCCCATCTCAACATTTGTTTTGTGCACAAGTTCATGGGCAAATTAAGGCAAGCTGAGGAGGGAGTGAACAGATGAGGGATGTTAAAATACAGCCACAGCATGGGGAGGAGCCATGGGTGACATGGGGACCTCCAGGTTCTCCACCAGCAAGCAACAAGCAATATCAAAAAATCTGGTCTGAACATATGGCTTACAAATATGATGGTGTTGCCACTCTTCTTTCCCAAACACAACCTGATCAGGGATCTCAGAGTTCCAAGGAATGTAACAAGTCTCTTGAAAATTTACTGGTAGTCTGCATAGAAAAGGAAAATATTCTTATCATTTACAGTGATTTTTGTAGGGGATAGAAATGCATATGTTTCACAGTGCAAGACAGGAATAAACCAACATGCAGGAACAGTACATCACTTGTCTTTTTATCCTGTAAAGATATATATTTAAGAAGGAGAAGGTTGCCTAGTCTTCCCCTCTGATGAGCATGGGAAGAGGCACATGTAAAAGCCTGAATCAGGTGGTATCTGTGTACTGCCAGCTCAACACTAGAAAAGTATTTATGGAAAGCTGATGAGCATGGGAAGAGGCACATGTAAAAGCCTAAATCAGGTGGTATCTGTGTACTGCCAGTTGCTGAACACTAGAAAAGTATTTATGGAAATCATCACACTTAGTCATTTCATACATCAAATGCCCTTGCCCCTTTCCCTGCATCTCCTAGTCAGCCCCACGTATCCTTACTTGGGGACAGAACTAGGGGTATGATGGACCTATGGAATGACCCCCTGGTCACTGCTGAAAGGGTGAGTTTATACATGCTTAACTATGAAGGTTTTGCATATAGTCACTTTTTCTTCTTGGATTTATTTATTTTTAGTGAGTTTAGGTGGTCTCTTATCCCTTAAAATTGAAAGATGGTGGATTGGAGGAGTTGGAGGAGGAAAGCCATTATTGAAGAGTACTATGGATTAAGCACCTTGTTTCTTCTGTTTCTCTCTCAGACAATACAGGAGGTTGCAGGCTATGTGCTCATCGCCCTTAACATGGTGGATGTCATTCCCCTCGAAAACCTTCAGATCATCCGAGGCAACGTGCTGTATGACAACTCTTATGCCCTGGCTGTTTTATCCAACTACCACATGAATAAAACACAGGGACTCCGACAGTTGCCAATGAAGCGGCTTTCAGGTGAGACACGGGCAAGAAGTGGAGGCACCTCTAAAGCCAACTTCACTGTCAGCTTATTGGTGTCAAGATCTATTGGAGATTGCCTCTCAAAGTCATAGGCCATCAAAATCAGCTTTAAGAGCAAGGATCTGAATGTAGTTTTCTAATTGCTTTCCTGCTAGCCCGTCTTCTGCAAAAGACAAAGAAAACTCATCAAGATTCATCTTTGTTCCCGAAACTGGCAAAGAAGCATCCATTTGTTATTTGGTATTACTTGATTCCAGTGCATACATATTGATATTTTGTGTTAGATCCCTGTGGTAATTGGCAATATGTGTGTCTCATGTGGTCTCTGGCTGGGCACACCAGCAGTGCCTACTCTGCTGACCACTGTGGGCCCCAGAGGTGGCACCAGGCAGAAGACTGCACATAGTGGCATGTTGGTGGCATCTGAGAAAAGCTGACTGTCATTCTGATCCAGGTGTTGGTTACACTGTAAGGAGTGCTGATGCCCTGCAGATTGTTCCTTTCTCTCAGTATCATGTGACTGAGGTGGAGAAAGATGTAACTTATTTCTATTTATTTAGATCAGAGACATTTTGGGGATGTCTCTGGGGCAAATAAGGGATTTGCTTCACTTAGCAATTAATTTTTTTTTTCTTTAACAGAAATTCTCAATGGAGGTGTTAAAATCAGCAACAACCCCAAACTGTGCAACATGGATACTGTTCTTTGGAATGACATCATCGACACAAGCAAGAAACCTCCAAAAGTGCTTGAATTTGCAAGCAACCTGTCTTCTTGTGAGTATTAACTTAGGAAAAGTGCTATGTGTCCCCCTCCATTTCAGAGAGTAAAATGAACAGCCCATCTTTCATGCAGTGGGTTCCTGGTCCAACAATTTCTAATGAAGGCCACCCAGCTCTGTTCCAAGAGAAGTGCTTTCATTTCTGCACCATTGGCCTAAGACATAATTTTTCATTACAGTTAGGTCCTTAACTCATAGCTCAGCAAAGTTCTTGGGAATGTTCCTCTTGATTTAAGACAATACCATGCATATGTGCTCAGCGCAGAAAAATATGCATTCATTTGCTTTCTAGCAATCTTCTGTTTAAATTGCAAGGCCCTGGTCTAGAAAAACCATATGGTTAGCTTAATGGAGTTACTTGAAGCCTTTTTAGAGCTAAGGCCCAAGTAATGCCATAAAATTCTCCTGTTTTGGGCTGCACAGATTACCCTGGCAAAAGTATTAATAAACAGGTAGATAAATCTGACACTTCAGATCAACAGGGAGATGAGGGGTTATTTAAAAGTTTGTACAGCATATGCTTAGAGCAGACTCAAGCTAATCCTTCAGCCTTATGAGTCCCTCGTAAAATCCCCAGTCATTTCACAGAAAGGAGGGTTTATTTTCATTTCTGAGCATTTCATTTCTGGCATTATAAATTGGCAGGAAAACATATTTTCTTTATCTTCTTCCAGTTGCATAATTGCCTGAGAGCTAATAGCCAACTTCTGTGTTGACTTATTTTTCTATGGAGCCCTGGCGTAATCAAGGAGTTGCAAACTATACATGTCAGCACAGGAGTTTGGCTCTGAACACCACAGAAATGTTAACCTTTAACTTTTCAACTTAAAAAAAATAAAGTTCTTTGGTCCTACACCAAATCAATCAACTCTTGGACAACTATTGGCATTTGTTCAGCTATTTGATGGCTGACGGAGGGAAGGAGAATCACATGCTGTTAGTGGGAAGAAACATTTGAGTAAAAAATGTCTTTTAAATGTAGTGAATTCCACATTAATCTGCTAAGACAGCCTTTTAAAGCATTAATAATGATCCCATACTCTAAAATAAGTTGTTTCTCTGGGACTTTGCTTGTCATTAAGAGAAAGAAGAAGAATAGAGCAAGGAGGGAAGAATGGGAAAGAACCCAGCACTGAACCCTCGAGGTCAGGCAAGGTGTCTGTCCATCCTGCCCACCTCTCCATTAATCATCCATCTGCAGCATAGTCCTGCACAAGGAGTATTTTTGGCAGAGCATGGGAGGAGGGCACAAAGCAGACAAGTCAAATTGCTTTGTGGTCAGAGTAGCTGGCAGTTGCCTGTGAATCCAGTTGGATTTGTTTTCTTTTTAGAACTGCCTGGTTCAGAAACACTGATTTACATGTGGCCTGTAGTGAGCAGCTGGTACATGCCTGAATTCAAGCCAGTGGTGACTTGCCATTGCATGAAAACCCCAGCAGAAGGGCCAGCCGGGCAGTAGCTGAGATTCCTGTTCCTGGGAAAAATATGCCTCTTTCGTAAGCTAGACTGGCTGGGTATTGTGCTCGCTTGCTCAAAGGTGTGGAGGTGGAGAGCTGCACGTAGGAAAGCAGAGGTGAACAAAGCAGAGGTGAACAAAGGATAATGAATTCAGCTCTCAAATTTTTTGAGCACTGTTATGTAGGTGCTTCCTATCCTGGTTTATCAGGAAGGAAATCTCAAGTCATTGTTTTCTGTTGTTCATGGTACCTTGTTATTTTCTTCATTACAGAATATTATACTCTCTCTTGTGTTTTAGGTCCCAAATGCCATCAGAACTGTACAGAAGACCACTGCTGGGGTCCTGGTGAACAAAACTGCCAGACATGTAAGCCTGCAGATTAGTTAAGAAATAGCTTGTGTGCTCTAACACACATACTACATTTCTGTCTACTGAAAAACTAACCGTAATTATGCAAGTAGGAGGGTTCCTTGATACTAAGAGAGCAGCAGAAACATCCATTTACAAGTGCATGAGATTTTGCAACAGTTTATTTTTCCTAAAGTAAAGGTTGAGGAGGTAATTAGTTTCACTGCTGTTTTTTTTTCTTTAAAAAGTGAGGAAATACACTGGGTTTTGTTTTGTGAAAAGTTTGGTGGGAAACTGCGGATCTAGTAATCATGCAAATGGAAGCAACATCCTACATTCAGTTTTCCATTGCAAATAGTCACCTGAACCTAAGTTTTTTGTCTGCAAATATCAATCCAAATTTGTGTGACTTAGAGCTTGAGGAAAGAGGAGCATATACCCTTCCTGTCTTCACTTAGTGTAAGCTTCAGCTTTTGTCAGTTTGGCTCTCAGGGTGGACAGTGGCTGTGCATACAAAGCCCTTCCTGGGTCGGTTCCTGCAGCTGAGGCTGCACAGCTGTCCCAGGAGCTTGCGAAACCTCAGGTCTCAGCCCTGCAAGCTTCCAGCATTTACAAACCCGCGCTGGAATCAGGAGGTTGACGAGTGCATGAAACAAAATCTTTTGCGGGCTCTTGCTCGCCTCTCCAGGCATTTGAGAATCTGGCCAACTGAAAATGTATCCCACATTTCCATGTGTGGGAAAGTTTGGGGGATACGTCTCTTTCGTCTGGAAATGAATGTGGGATATCTGTATGAAGTAAAATTGTTTGATGTAATATATGTCTCCAGCAGGAAACTCTAGTCAATAGTTATCAAAGTGATGAGGTGCTTTATTCCCCTGCTAATTCTTAGGAAAAAAATTGTATCAAAATGCTGTTCATGTAGAACAATGTGCCTTTTATTCCCATTTCTAGTTGAATGGAGGAGTTCCTATCAGAGATGCTAATGCATACTGTGGAAATAATCTGTTTCCTTGAAAATGTATTACCTTACTTACAGGTCTACAAGAAAAAATAAAGTAATAGAGTTTGGATACAGAACTGTGTAATGGAAAAAGAATATATGATTTTGAAAAATCACTGTTGTATACCCTGTAGCTGGCTATTTTTTGAAATAATATTCTGTTAATTAACAACCATGTTTTCAGACTTACAGGAATTTCTGATAATATTGCTACTGATTTGTGCCAACTGTGAAGTTGATAACAGTTACCACAGTGCACAGCTGAAACGCTCAGGATGCTGTATGAAGCAGAGTAGCCATCAGGTTCTTCTGGCACCTTATGCCAGACTTCATGGATCAGTTTTGTGGGTTTTTTTAGAGAACAAAAACATGGTAGCCATTCATTTGTGTGTTTTTAAAAAATTGTTCTGATTATCCTTTTCTCTGCTTTGATATTCAAATGGAGAAGCTTTCCCAATTCTCAACAAAATGTTGCAGGCAGTTTTTGCTTCCCTGCAAAAAGCTGGACCAGGGCCAGTTCCTTCCTTTGGGTTGTTGCACTGGTGCAAACCCTGAGGGAGTTGTGTAATGAAGATAAAATTTGGCCAAGGATTTGAACATTAAAGAAAAATAATTCAATGTGCATATGAAATCTGCTTGCTGAGTGAGTCTCCCTATCCCTGCAAATTTTGGAAATATTTTAGTGCTTTAAAGGGATATTTTGCAGCACCACACCTACAATGCACAGTTTCCAGTTATAGTATGGCAATTCTGTCACATTGTTTTTCCCAAAGTTAGCGCTATAATAGTAAATTTTCTCAATGAAATGGAGACAGACGTCTCCATGTCTCTGTCGCCCAGCTATAAGATGCAATGACTGTCACAGAGTTTTTCTTGGTCTAGGCATTGGTGCAACAGGGTTGTTCTTTCTAAGCAGGACATATTTCCTGGCTGGGATCAGAGTTCTTAGCACCTCATAAGAGCCAAGATAATTACAGGCTGAACATGACCCCTTCTTACCACCACCCACACTCGCTCTCACCCCTCCCAAACTTTGGCCTTAAATGAGGACAGAACGTCCCATGAGGAAAATCTAGCACAGAACCTGCACCAGACCTTTTCTCCATATTTCTTGATCTCATTACAGCAAATACAGCTGATGTTTTTCATTTGTTCTTCTATCTTCCAGTAACAAAAGTCATCTGTGCTCAGCAGTGCTCTGGTCGGTGCAGGGGAAAGGTGCCCAGCGACTGCTGCCACAACCAGTGTGCCGCGGGGTGCACCGGGCCTCGGGAGAGTGACTGCCTGGTAAGGATGCTGCACCACCACCACAATGGCTTCAGGCCCTGACACGGCGAGCAGGGCTTTCAGCTGCATGTCCTCTAGACTTCTTCAGCCCCAGAAGGCATCCTGAGGGATGCTGACCTGGAGGGTGCTCCAGGGCTTCCCTGCATTGGGAGTTGGTGGGAGGGAAGATGACATGACCTTCACAGCACCCTGAGCTGGTCTTTACTGACTCTGCCCGTGGACCTTCCTAGTGTGTTCCAAACCAATGCTAGTGCCTTTGAGTGCCCAGTGAGCTCCAAGTTGTTGCAGAGCATCTAAGTGTTTGCTGTAGGCAACTTCCCCACATGAACAGGCGCACAGCTGCCCCCACGGTGCAGCAGTTATCCTTGTACTCCACAGCTGCAATCCACAGCTTTGCCTTGTACTCCTTAGCACTAGTCAGTAGTAATCTTGGTTTACTAAAGCAGGATCTTGTAAGGGAAGTAAAGAAGTGATGGGTCTTCATTTTTTTGCATTTCACCAAACTTCATGTGTGAAATCCAGGTTTCCCTTTCTGCTTTTAACTTGCCACAAATGCACTGTATTTGGGGAGCCCTCGGGCAGTGAAGACAGAAGAAAAAAATGGTGCTTCTTTAGGGAGTAAAGGTCCCATTGCTTTTCCACAAGAATTTCAGGGGTTTGATGCATGCTGTGCTTTTAACTCTTCCCCATGTTTGCTTTATACTTCATTGAGAATTAAGGGACATCTCAGTAACCACCATAGAAATCATCTGACCTGGATTTTACTGTTGTTGCCTCTTCTCCTGGTTTCCTTTTAAGATTGCTATGATCCCCTTACTGGCTTACAGGGAAGACAGTTACTCTCTCTCATCTGGAAAGCTAGGAGAGAAGAAAGGGAAAAAGAGAGTCATTATTAATTTAACGCAGATTTAGATTGGAAGAACCAACTTGCCCTTCATAAATGCCTGCTAAATTGTTCATTACCTGCAGCCAAATATAATGGCTTGAGTTTAATATTTAGCCAGAAAAGTCAGTAATTGGCAGGAAAGGACTTGATTTGATTTAGGTTATTAAAAACTGGCCAAGAAAAGTACAGTTTGTCTTGATCTGGTTCCTGCTTGTAAGGGAAAATTTTTCTGTCTAAGGCATGCAGATTTACTCCTGTTCCCACGTGAATCCCAGCAGCTCTCCGCCAGAGTGCCAAGGTTTCTTGTTCAGAAAAAGAAAAGTTCATGGGTTTTTTTTTTAAAAATTACTGAACTCCATTGCCCAGCCTGAAGCAACCTTTCAACTTCAAAGCCTGAGGGAACATCCCTGTAGCTGCTTGGGGTTTCCATTAAAGCTAAGCAGGAAGCAGATGAGGCCATCAGACTGTTTTGAAGACCTGATGTAAAATCACTGTCACTTTTGAAAGAAAAGGTAGTTTAATGGGTGTTGTTCAATGACAGGCATGCCGCAAGTTTCGGGATGATGCTACGTGCAAGGATACATGTCCCCCCTTGGTCCTGTATAACCCCACCACTTACCAGATGGATGTGAACCCTGAAGGAAAATACAGCTTTGGAGCCACTTGTGTGAAGGAATGTCCACGTAAGTTCATTTCAGGTTGCAGCCCCAGAGGAGGTGGGGCATTGGAGAAAAAGGGGGAAGGGTCCTATGTCATCGCTCTGTGTTTGTGATCAGGTGAAAAAGCACTTGTTCACTTCAGTGTCTGTGGGAGCTGAGAACAGGTGACAAAGTGAGCCTCTTGAAACAGTCTGCATCCATCACCTTTCCTGGTTTTAAATCTTTGCATTTTGACTTCTGAAAATTTTTCTCTTGGTGAAGAGAAAGGTGTCTTCTAAAAACCATTAAAACAATAGCTATAATGGTATCAATGCTATGGATTACCAAAGCATTATCGACTCTTAACTGGTTCTTAATTAGGACTGTTAAAAAATAATTGATTTTAACACTCTGTCTCAAGGACAGTGATCATTGTTTTCTCTATAGATGTTTGCTTTTCCTTTCTTCCTGTTCCATTTTGGTATTTTTTAATCCATCGGGACTTTAACGTGGTTTCATCCTTCTGTGACCATTCCCCTCCCTGTAAAATGGTGATAGCACTGTATGTTCATCTACCTTCAAATGATGTTTGTGATGTTAATGCCTGTACTTTCCTGAGTGTGCCAAAAGCTCAAAACCCTTTTTTCTTACAAGTCTTGAAGTGCTTGTCTGGCCCTCAAAGCGTCCCCCTTGTATTTCAGTCACCTTTGTATCCTTTTTTTTTCCAGACAACTACGTGGTAACAGACCACGGCTCCTGTGTTCGCTCATGCAACGCTGATACTTACGAAGTGGAAGAAAATGGTGTTCGGAAGTGTAAAAAGTGTGATGGGCTATGCAGCAAAGGTAAAAAAAGCATGGAATAAACCAGTGAGGCATTGGGATGATAGAGAACTTACTAGGAAAAGTGCAGGGAGTTCTGGTCTTAGTTAAGTGCAAACTCAAGAAAAATCAGATCCAGTAATACTTTGGAGATCTGACAAGAGGTTTGATCAGGAAGCATGACTGTGGAGCATGCTCTCCAGGTGGGATACACCACAAGTACAGTAGATAAAACTGTGTGTTGTGTGCATGTATATCTTACACACCAGCCTTCTCCTCCATTAGTCCTTCCCTGGTCTCATCAAGGGGAATGGAAATGTGACAAAGAGAGAAGGGAATATGCTAGAGCCTGTGTGCAGAGATGCTCAGACCAGAGATGCACAGCTGGGCAAGCAGGAAGCAGTTATCCTGTGGCACTTTCTGAAAAGCAAAAATAGGCAAAAGATTTATGAAACTCATCTTAGAGTGGCTGGTTTGACTATACGGGAATTCTTGCTGAACTTGTGGCACCTCAGTGTTTCTACACTGCCATGTGACTGGGCTTCACTTTTGTCCCCCCCTAACTTTTGTATCTCTCCTTTAACAGTGTGCAATGGCATTGGAATAGGTGAACTTAAAGGGATCCTCTCCATAAATGCTACAAATATCGACTCCTTCAAAAACTGCACCAAGATCAATGGGGATGTCAGCATTCTCCCAGTTGCATTTCTAGGGTGAGTTACCTGCTGGCCATCAAGTACTGAAAGAAAAAGTCTAGGGAAAATCCAGGCTAAGCTGTTCGTTTCCCAATTTCTCATTATGTTTGTTTCAGTGATGCCTTCACGAAGACCCTACCTTTGGATCCCAAGAAACTGGATGTCTTCAAAACAGTCAAAGAAATATCAGGTTAGCAGTGAATTTAAGCTGAGGTGTTTTTTGACTGATACTGCCAAAAACACAAATGGGGGAGGAGGGGAATTTTTTAAGCACATGAAGAGAAGTGCATGCATAGTGTTTCTTGTCTCTGAGCTAACAAGGGTCACTCTTAACCAAGGTGGTCAGCAGCGCATTGCCAGCATTACGCCCACATAACCCATACTGGTCTTCCATCCAAGGTGTGTGGTTTGGCCAGAACATCCCTCCTGCCGAACTGTCAGTCCTAGAGAAAAGTCAGTGGAGATCCTCAGCCACCCAAGAAGCCTGTGGTGATGTAGAGGCGTGCCACTCCAGCTAAAAAAAGCCAAGTGTGTTTCTATTTGTGGAAAACCTTTCAGCAGCTCCTTAGGGAAGCATGCTCAGTGGCTTGCGTCATCCTTATGGAGACACCCTCTCCAGCCTGATGAGTTCTTCCTTGGGCTGAATGTGTCTCCATGAGCACAAAGCAGCCAGCAGAGCACTCAGCCACCGTCTTGCACCAAGTATCAATTAAAAGTAGTTGTGTTCAGCCCATTATGCAATGAATGTAACATCGAGGCTGGGTCTACAGACACAACTCCACTTCTCCTCTTCCCTCTCACCTGTATGGTTCCCCTTCAGGGTAGCAGTGACTAACTGCAGAGCTTCATACAGCAGCCTGCAATTTTCCACATTCTCCCCTTCCTCCCAAACACCTCAGCTGAGTGGGGAATTCTGCTTGCCTCAGAAAATCCACTACACGCAGCTATTCTGCTCTGTTCCTGATTTTCAATTTTCCTCTTCCCTGAGGTCAGCTGAAAAATGAGATGGAGTGCTGCCTTTCTCCCACAGATCCAGAGTCTGCAGCCTCTTAGCCAGGGTATCTACTGGCAAGAGCCATCGTTGCTGGTGACTCGGTGTGGCAGGATGTGCAGCTCACCGACATGCTCTGTTGCACTCCTAAGCCCTCATGGTGGGCTGAGAAGTAAACTGTTTATTAAACAAGGTTTAAAAATATCTCCTTGCTCCCTAAAATGTCATGTTAGACTTTGAGATCCTTCAGATAAGCATAGGGAAAGTACAAGTGCCTTCTCCTGGTGCAGGATTTGCTACAGGAGAAGGTTCTGCTGCTAGTAGTAACAGTGAGTTTATTTCTATTATGGTTATTTTTTAATCTTCTTTTCCTCTTGCAGGATTTTTGTTAATTCAAGCCTGGCCTGAGAATGCTACTGATCTCTATGCTTTCGAAAATCTGGAGATTATACGAGGCAGAACAAAGCAGCAGTAAGTAAATCATGTGCCACAGCCACTCAAAGAGAAACCCTGTTTTGAGCTGCTCTTGTCTGAGCACATGAGGTTTCAAGCAGTGTGAGACTCAGGTGTCCCTAAACTGATGGAAAATGGGGCAAACCCTGCAAGGAGTAGAACACCATCTCTGTAGCATAGATAATGTGCCCTAGGAGCAAAGACTCAGCTCTGTGCCATGTATGGATGGCTGCCCTGAGCCTGCTTTCAGGACCAGGGTTTCCCCCACCATCCTGGAAGCACAAGCAGAAAGTGCTCTTTACAGTCTGGGGGGTAGGTCATAATGTGATCAGAAGCACTATGGGATTTGAGGCAATGGGGCAGTTGTGGATGGAGGCTGCCGAGCAGTGCAGACATCAGCAATGCTTCCAAGTGCCCTCCTAGGCTTGCCCCAGGAGGAAGAGTGACTTGGTGGACAAGCACAAAATAATAGCTGCTTTACCTACAACCATTGTTCCACATCATTTATTTGTCAGAACATGTGTGTCCTGACAGTTTTAACTTAAAAAACCCTTGCAAAACCAAATGTGAGTATTGCAGTTGTTACGTAAGAGGCGTAGTATGTACATGGCATTAAGTTTAGAAGGCTAAGAAGAACCTTGCTTGAAGAAAATGCAGTTCACAGCAGGACACATTTGACAACTAAAAGAAAAACATGCTGAGTAAATCCTGCTTACTAATTACCTTTCTTGCCTGTTTTTTCTATTTGTCCATCTCCATTTTAGTGGCCAGTATTCCCTTGCCGTTGTTAACTTGAAAATACAGTCCCTAGGGCTGCGCTCCCTCAAGGAAATAAGTGATGGAGATGTTGCCATTATGAAGAACAAGAACCTCTGCTATGCTGACACCATGGACTGGAACAGCCTGTTTGCAACTGAGAGCCAGAAAACGAAGATTTTACACAATAGAGATAAAAATGAGTGTGGTAAGTGAGTGCTGCATTCCTGCTCACCATCAAAGCTCATGCTGGAATTCAAAAGTAAGCTTGCTTTTTCATGATTCAAGCAAGGCTTTTTTCTCCATGTTCCTCTGGCTACAAAATTCATTGGTGATACTGCTTTAATAAAAGTGGTGAGGGGAGAGTGGGATTTTTTTTTTCCCCACCAAAATGTGGACTTTGTGGTGTCCAGCAAATCAGGAGCTTCTTCACTACTATGAACATGGTGAAGCCATGTCACTTAAAGGACACAAAAGCTAACTCCTAACACGGACCTTTTTTAACAAGGTTGGAGCTGTTGTTCAACCATACTGCTATTGATCGCAGTGGTCCCTGGGCCAAAATCTTTTTTTTTTTTTTTTTTTTTTTTTCCCAGAATATTTGTCATAGAAATACAGAATGGTTTGGGTGAGAAGGGACCTTTAAAGGTCATGTAGGCCAATCCCCTGCTGTGGGCATTGATGTCTTTCACTAGACCAGGTTGCTCAGGGCCCCATCCAATCTGACCCTGAACTTTGAGGAATTAGGCATCCACCAATTCTCTACGAAACTCAGCATCTCACCACCCATTGCACCTATGTCTTCATTGTATCTAAATCTATTTACTCTTTCTATTTAAAAGCATTTCCCCCTGTCCAGTCACTACAGGCCTTGTTAAAAATTGTTACAAGTGCACTTCAAGTACAAAAAAACCCCAATAATGTTTCTCCAGAGCTGTCTCTTCCCCAGGGTGAACATCCCCAGCTCCCTCAGCCTGACTTAACTTTATTATACATCTGTTAAGCTGTCACAGAGGAGATCATTGTTATTTTGAACGGCCAGAAATTAATCAGGCTTTGGGATTTAGAGAAGCATGATTACTCCTCTTCCACTCTACCAGAACCATTCATATCTGTTTTGGAACAGGCTGGGGAAACTGGCTGGCCAGATGGAGTGAGAATGGAGAGTTTGACCTCTCTCTTACCTTGACATTCATGTCTTTTCTTGTCCCTCTTTCTCTCTCAGCCGCTGCCAAGCATGTTTGTGACCCCCTGTGCTCAGACGTAGGCTGCTGGGGCCCAGGGCCCTTCCACTGCTTCTCCTGCAGGTTTTTTGATCGTCAGAAGGAATGTGTGAAACAGTGCAACATCCTGCAAGGGTAAGGTGTCTCAGGGGTGCTCTAGGTTTTGGTGATGCTGTAGGGGCTTTGGTTTTTAAAATGCTTTGTAGCTAGAAAGAGAGCAAGAAGCTGGGTCTCTGGTTGCATGGGATTTCCCCAGCTTGCAGAGGTGTTGTGTGAACACAGTACCTAGCTAAGGTACCTCTCCTTCACCATTCAGTATTGCTTAGGAGTTTGCTCCTGACATGGTGACTGCTAATAAAACATCCCCTTAAGCCCACAAGGAGACTATTTGGAGGCCCAAGGACGCCTTGGGCTTCCTTCCCGTAGGAAAGAAAGGAGTTTAAAGCTCAACCTGTGGCTATCATGTCAAGAACACTGTGTGAGAGCCATTCTCTGGGAGCTCAGTCATCACCAGACCCACGGCTTTGCCGCTTGATAGACTTCCCTCCTCTTGTATTTGCTCAGATGAGCAGCTCACTCTTGCAGTTTGCAAAGTTGCAGTCAAGGGAGAATGAACTTTCATCCGAAAATGACTGAGAGCAGCAATTTCAGAAAAAATTATTGCCTCAGCCTCACTCAGGACATGGAAAAAATATTGCTGCCTTGTGTGTCAATTCAACAGGTGATGTAGGTGGAAAAGGTATGTCTAGCAGCAAAATTACAAAGTCTGACTTTTAAAGTTCCTGAGTATTAAGCAAGTACTTGTCAGGCTGCTACTGCCTCTGATGTTTGTATTTCTCTAGTGGTTTGCAGTTTAGCAGCTATCTTTTTTTTTTAAGTGAATTCCCTGTAGCAGCTATTATAACCTGAAGGGCAGATCAGGGCATTATTTTGTGTCAAATGATGGGTAGATTTAGTTTAATTAATAACACCATTACTTGAAGTGGAACAGCTTTATTGCTATTAAAACCATCTGTTCCCAACTTTCATATTTTAATGATTCATTGTGTGTTGTAGAGAGGACATGAATTTAATTATCAGTGCCTTGCTGTTTAACTTTCCTAATTATTATTTGTAGCCTTGGAATTACTTGAACTGTTTTTGCTGATCTCTTTGCATCACTACCATTTAAAAGCTTCTAGAAATGGTTGTGAGTATTCTGTGACATTAGCTTAAAAGGGAAAGTAAACTAATTTGTAGTGTGCAATCTGGAGTGCCATGTGTTTCACTGTCAACCAAATTTCCCTTACTCTTACGTCCTCCTGGTTGCACTGAGCAAGTACTACTGGTGTAGCCAAGAGGGTCCCTCCTCCTGTCTGAGCATCATCATCATCCTCTCAATCAAATGTGGAAAAGTCTGGAACATGAGAGAAAACCACAATTTATCACTTGCTATTATTTCTAAGGTTTAATTGTTTCTCTTTTTTTGTTGTTGTTTTCCAGGGAGCCAAGAGAGTTTGAAAAGGACTCCAAGTGCCTCCCCTGCCACCCTGAGTGCCTGGTGCAAAACTCCACCATGTACAATGCAACCTGCACTGGACCTGTAAGAGTAGATTCATCTTAGCAAACCTGAGCCTCAGATCACATATTAATATGTATTTCCCAGGTTCAGATAATCCTGAGGTCGCATTTTAACCCTATTTGAGGTGAAACAGAGAATGGGAGTGGTTAGAAGTCAAGATCTTGGGGCAAGGGAGCAGGATAGGAAACTTCGGGGTGTTAGCTTTATTTTCTGACAGGTAATCCACAGTCACAGACATTGTAGAGTCTTTAATATTTTTTAAAATATTAAATTTTGTATTTTTTAAAAAAATACTTACTTTGGCAAATATGGCAAAAATTTGAGTAACATGTAACCACTCAAAGTTGATGTGAAGACATTAGAATCAAACTCAGATCTTAATTGCAAAAGTCTAGTTCTCTCTTTTTTTTTGAGATCAAAACTCTTGCTTCCATCACAGGTCCACCTCTGTGTTATTTAGCCCAACTCTTTAAACCTCTTGCCGCTTCCAGCAGCCTCTGAGTGTTTGACCCCCTTGATCATTGTTGTGGTTTAGGAATGGTACTCCAGAATGGGAGTGGTTAGAAGTCAAGATCTTGGGGCAAGGGAGCAGGATAGGAAACCTCGGGGTGTTAGCTTTATTTTCTGACAGGTAATCCACAGTCACAGACATTGTAGAGTCTTTAATATTTTTTAAAATATTAAATTTTGTATTTTTTAAAAAAATACTTACTTTGGCAAATATGGCAAAAATTTGAGTAACATGTAACCACTCAAATTTGATGTGAAGACATTAGAATCAAACTCAGATCTTAATTGCAAAAGTCTAGTTCTCTCTCTTTTTTTTTTTTTTTTGAGATCAAATCTCTTGCTTCCATCACAGGTCCACCTCTGTGTTATTTAGCCCAACTCTTTAAACCTCTTGCCGCTTCCAGCAGCCTCTGAGTGTTTGACCCCCTTGATCATTGTTGTGGTTTAGGAATGGAACCAACTTAGTACTCCCACTGGGACTCTCCAAATGACAAGCCACTCACTCACTCCCTCCCCCACTTCCCCTGTGGCAGGCTAGAGAGGAGAACTGGAGCATAAGAGGGGAAAATCATGGATTGAGATAAGAACAATTTACTGGAAACAGCAATGAGATAAGAAAAGGAGCAGTAACAGCAACATTAGTAACAGTGTACAAGAAAGGTGAAAGATTCTGATGTAATTGCTCAGAACCAGCATCATCCCACTGTTCCCTCTACCAGGCTTGCTCAACTAGAAGGAACCCCTTCTCCCCAGAAGAAGCTCCTTCCCCCTGCCCCTGGGGGAAGGAGGTATAAATGAAGGGATATGGAATAACCTTCATGTCCTCCTGGCTACTGCAAAAATTAACCCTATCCTGTCAAGAACCAAGACACCCATCATCAGTTTGAAGTGTCACTGCTCAGTAATGTGAAGCATTTCCATCCTCCCTCCTAGCACCATGGCCTCAAGGATGCTATTTACATTATAAACTCCTTTAGGAGTGACCCCCTGTTCCATATTTGCCTAGCATCTACTAATCAGTCTATTATAGTGGCCCTTAGACATTACAGTGATTAAAATAATCTTCCTATAGCGTGTCTTACTTTTGTCCCACTACAACCAGCACTATGGATCTGGTCTGGTTTTTCTCCACAGTAGAATTTGGCCCACAATTGGTGGTTCCCCTGCTTTAAAATATTTAGGTCATTCATGGTGCTGTTACAGTCTTAATAAAAACAGGTCTGTCAAAAATGGCCTAAGGCAATACCTTTAAATACAAACTAAGTGCTTTTCAAAGCAGAAAAAAAAAATGGACTCCTTGGGCTGCCTTCATCATCCTATGCTTCTTCCTAACAGAGGAAAGAACCTGTGCTGAGAAACCAGAAAAATAATGATTTTATTCCAGTTTTTCAGGGAGGTATCAAGAGGTCTATATCCACTATTTTAAATTATGCGACAGTAGATTGCACCAGGTAGCAACCAATCTGTCTGCTTTTCAACTGGTCCCTTATCAAGGTGTCATTAAATTCTTCCCCATTTAAAATGCAAAACACAAGTTTTCCAAGCAGACAGAAGGCAGAGGTGAAAAAGAAGCAACATTGTAATGCAAGAAAATATTAGCTTTAAGCAACAGGAACTGTCTTTTGTATGGTCCATCCTGCAAGAGGAATTGCTTGCAAGAATATCAGGTAGCAAGGTAATAAAACCAGACAATGCTGAAAACTTCCAGCAGTAAAAGGCATTTAGATTTATCTTCTGAATTTCTTCCTGAATAGGAATTATAAACAAGTCGTTTCTCTCTGCAGGGCCCTGACAATTGCATGAAGTGTGCCCATTTCATAGATGGCCCTCACTGTGTGAAATCCTGCCCAGCAGGGGTTCTGGGTGAGAATGACACCCTCGTCTGGAAATATGCTGATGGGAATAATGTTTGCCAGCTCTGCCATCCAAACTGCACCCGGGGGTGAGTAAAACCTGGGACTGAATGGTGACAGGGAAGAAAAGAAACAGAGAAACAGCTTGTCTCAAGCTCTTTCTCCTCCTGACAGTCCCATGTCAAACCACTGAGAGGAACTAGCAGGGAGCAAGAGAGATCAGGAGGACATGGTTAATGAAAGCAGAGTGTGGCAAACTTTGCAAGTAGGAAATGGTCAGTGGTACTTTGTCTTTATGCAGAAGGAAAGAAAAAAAATAGTTTAAGGGGTTTGAAACAGGCTTGTTTGATAACTTGAAAGAATTTTACAGGACTCACCCACCACTTCTTTCCCCACCTGGCTTGTTGATGTGTCCTCTGCTTTTGAGAGGAACATCAGTGACATCTTGTGGATGCTGGGTTCCCAGAGCCCATTTTTCTGTGCACCTTTCAACTTTCAGGAGGGAAATCCCAGTGGGTTAACACGATGAATTTCTTTTTTTCCTTCTTTCCATGTGCTAGCACTTGGTCTGAGTTTAAAGCCTTGTGAGTGTGGCTTTTCTAACAAGAATCACAGTAAATCCAATCTATATCGGCCATTTTTTCCTCTTTAAAATGGTTGCTTAAACTGCAACCTGCAACAAGGTGTGATTGTTTAACCTACATCAAAAGTAGTAATGGTCTTGTCTCCTGATTTCCAACCTACAAAAGACATGAGATGCACAGGAAAAGGTTTTAGGGTTTGAGAGCTGGTTATTGGACTGTGATGCTTTCAGAGCAAAAAGCCCATGTTTGGTGTATTTTCCTTCACAGACCTCTGCTTTTTACCCTGCAAGTCTGTCTGATCCAAAATCTTTCTATAATAAGCCCGTAATAAATGTTGCAAGAGCGGAATTGTAACATATTCAAACCAACCATCACATTGTTAGCTAATCCAACTGCCAGTTCCCCACCTTGGTGGGAAAAAGGAGCTGAAGGGTGGAATCAGCAAGTAACAGCCCTTTCTAGTGCTTGTAGTGAAATTCAGTGCAATGGATTTCAGACAGTAGTTATACCAGCTTGCTGGATTTGCCACGATTTACAGCTACAGCCCTTGCTTTTTCTGTGGTCATAGACAAGGCTTATCAGGGCTTCCCACTGCAAGCCCAGGAAGAAATGTCCTCAGTTGAAAAGGGATCATAATACGGTTGCTCTTTATTAATTTCTTCAGTAGTTCCTACTGATAGGAACTGGCCACAGTGGTCTGATATCCTCCTTCTAACTGGCCACATGGAAATGCAGCTGATAGTGGAATAGTGTAATGAACAACCACATCTGAACAAGGCTTTTTTTTTTTCACTGTGCAGCCTCAGTAGTGAGATCAAACACTATACTTGAATGCAGATTTGTAGAACATAATTTGCCAGACAGGGATGTAAAACAAGCCACACAGTGGCTCTTAGTTCACAAGCAAGTTTCCCAAGCAGAATTGATCAGAGAAGTCAATTCTTGCCTTGCTTTAGCAGTGGATGGGGGAACCACAAGAGTCAGGCGGAAGATGAGGTTACAGTAAGGAGACTTTTTTAAAATGAGGGTTACCCAACATATGCCTCAGTTTATTTGGCCCTGTGTTATTAAGGCAGAATATAAAAAGAAGTATCAATTTCATCTTTCACATGAAAGAGCTGGGCTGAGTTTGCATCAGTTACATTGTGAACTTGCTCAATAGGCCAATTCAAATTGATGCCCAAATGTGGCAGATGAAATAGGTTGTATCACTGAAGAGCTCAAGAGAGCTGGAAGGAGGTAGTGTTGCAATATTTGCTATACAGATGAGACATCTGTGGCCATGGATGAGTAGGGAGCCAGTGTCAGGGTTATAATATGGGAACAAGCAGTCAGGCACAGCATTGTCCCTCTGAAGACAATCCATCAGCAATGCCATTTCTCTTCACGCCTTTCCCTCATTTTGCTGTGGGAATGAATCTGTTCAGCAGTGGGTGGAAAACATCTGTCTCACAAAGCTTTTGCATCCTTAGAAACCACTGTCTCAGCGATTCCTGCATGACAAGGAGCAACTATCATTTCTATCCCTGTCCAATTTCACGGCCAGAGCCCACAAAATCTTATCAGCATGATTAAGTCTGCTGACTTCAGTAGTCATGCAAGCAAAGGTTCCCGGGATCTCTCTCTGTTTTCCTTTACTTGAAGAAGCTTCAAGTAAAAGCCTTCTCTTCCCAGCTGAGTTGTGTCAGGAATTTCATTTTTTCACTTTAGGTATGCATACTGGTTGTACATTGCTTCTTTTGCAATGCCATGAAGAATTCCTTTGAGTCTCATTTTCTTTGCTGAGTCCATTTTTCAGCCTTCATTAGGAAACAGAATGAAGGATGCTTTCTCCTACTTAGCTCAAAAGACCCCTTCTCTCCCAATTCTCCTGTATTCTCTTGGGGATTTTGTACACAAACTTCCTTTTGCCCTGCCTCTAGTGCAGCTGAGAATATATGCTACGATAAAGAAAGCAACATCTCAAAAGCTCTGGAATTACCCCATATGTTCATCAATTAAAGACACTCACCATCTTAATTAATCTGATCCGTGTTGAAGGATTTCCCTTGCCAGTCTCACAAAGTGCAGGAAATAGACACAGCCACGAGGATGGATAAGCAAGAAGGAGAAGAAGCCACTGCTGTAGCCAATACCACTGGCTCACACATCCTGCCTCCATCCACAGTTGCTATCAAGACTCTGTGTCTCACCGGTCTTCATTTTAAATGCTAAGGGATTCTTGGGGGAGATGAGAAAGTGGCCAGGGGATCTGAGAGGGAAGGCTGCAGAAGCACAGCACAAATTCTATGCCTTTGTCACTCTTGGAAGGGTGCTTAGAAAAGAAGGACAAAGTAAAATTTTTGTAAAGTTTCAAAACATTTAAAAATTGTTTTCCATTTCTTTTATGATTGGGAAGTAACTTGGGCTGTTATAGTGCGAGTCCCCTCTGAAAGGCCATCAGTCATAACAACTTGACTGTATTACATCAAATTAGGAACTATAGGTCCGAGTAAATGGATTTAGGAAATAAACAGCTGTGTGTGCACTGGGACAAGTAATATTTACATAGACGGGTAAAACTTGTAGTTCAGGATGAAGTAGTTTTCAGAAGCTGTACACAGGACTAATTTTCCAATAAGTAGAGAAATATGTCTAGGACTAGAACTGCTGTTATATTCATCTTATATATCCATAAGATCTTGAGTTACTTCATAACATAAGGTCACATTTGTCAATTTGGTTTCTGTAAGCAGAAGAAAAATTACTCAGGAATGGAAAACGTGATTGTTTAGATTCCATAAAATCTGGGTTACTTATGTAGAGTGTCATCATAAAATTACACATTAAGAAAGATAGTTATATGTAGTCCTGGAGTGATAATTCTTATGGGCTTTTTTTCTTCTCTGACTTGTGAAATTAATCAGAAAACCAAGTGGGATTTGAAAAGCACAAGCTGATCTCCGTATTTCTTCCCAAAAACCTTTATCCTACAAGACTTGATATTGATGGATTTCTGTGGGAAAAGGAAGGGAACTGATAAAAATCTCCAATTCTCCTGCCTCTACTTTGATGTGTAAGAGAAGAACTGGTCAGTCATTCCTCAGACTCTAGCTACAGTTACCTCAGCCAGCTTTGTTTGCTGTTAGGAAGCACATAGAGAACTTGTGGTCTTAAAGTAGCATGGCAAACTAGAATTTTGAGGAAGACATCCTTTGAGGGACAGTAGTCATATTCTGAAATTAGGGGAGGTCTTCTAATTTCACATTCTTATCAAGAGCACTGCACATGTTTTATTGCATTACAAATTCATATCTGGGAGGTAGACCATGACTGGATGAGGTCTGGAGTCCTAGATCAGTTTTCCATTGAGCACCTGAAAAGAGAAGCCCAAGGCAAGATCTGCCTCCCATGATGATAAGGGAGCTGGTGGCTCTGCTCTGCGCATGCAGCCTCTCTGTGCTTAGTTGCACAACTGAGCAAACAAAGCAAGCTGTATACTGGTAGGAAAGCTAACAAGGCTGAGGACTCGGAATCCGGGAATTGGTATGCACAGCACTTCCAGCATGTCCAGGACACCAGGATGCACATTCTTGCATGGGAGCCCAGTGAACTTACAAGACCTTCCAGATGCTGGGTCTTGGAGCACTGTGTTGGCCCAGAAACAAGACAAATACACAAGGGAAGATCTGAGTAATGAAAACAAACAAACAAACAAACTAAAACCCAATAAAATGAGTAGTTGCTTCACTTCTTCCTTCCCCAGACGTAGTCCAAGTTACGAGAGAAGATGTGCAACTCTACCTGGCATTTTGAAATTTTTTTGCTTCCTCCTGTCAGTGAGAGGGATTCCAGAGCAGTTTTCCAGGCATGGGCTCACTCCTTACCCCCTATTTGACCTCCTCTGGAATTGTTTTGGGATGATCCATTTTCTTTAAGTCAGCGCAGGGAGCGGATACCACAAACTGGACTTTACTCCTTTCCTGTGCTTTGTTTTCTAGAGGTGATGTCACTCTCTCAGTAATGCTCCCCTTCCCCAGTAGACACCACAAAGACCACAATTCCCATGAAGAGCATACATCTTACAGCCCAGCAGCACTTGAGGAAAGCACTGTGCCTCTCACACTCATTAGACCATCAAGTGAACACAGTCACTGTGTTTTCATCTGGTTTTTTTTTTTCTCACTGCGCTGCCAAAATTTTGAGCATTTTAAACTCAAATGGAGGGTGAATGACTTGCTATTAGAGTTCCTGGCTCCCTGGATAATGATTGTACCTGTTTACATTGCCAGTAATATAAGACTTTGGATTCTAAAGGAAAAATACCATGGACATGTGCCAACAAACTGTAGCCCGAGAGAATGCTGTCAAGTCCCATTTTTTGATGGAAGTCCGTGTATCTGCTACCCAACTTTTCCATTGAAATGGAAAGTCTGGAAATTGAAATCTTTACCTTATCGGGAAACAAGGATTATGCAGGAGGGTCTGCAATGGCATGTTTCCACATGTATTTCTGTCCGTGTAGGAGGAGGCAGCTACTTCTGTCCTCCTCCACATTCAGCTCTGGGCTCTGCACCGAGATAGGGAATCTGTGAATTTTGTGTATCTATGTCCTCCCCCACTTCTACCACATGCTAAAAAATTGTTTTAAAACATTCTTTAAACTAAGTATGCAGTGTAGCTATTTCTCTAGATAAAAGATTTTGGAGCAAGGTTGTTGACTGATATCTAATTGAGTGTATGACTATTATAAATTCCTATGTTAACACTTGAACTGCTCTGAAACACAAACTTTCAAATCAGTAGCACTCTTCTTAGTTGGAATTACAGAAGTATGTAGGCCAGAGCTACTATGTTTGTAACGTTCATTTGTTTTTACAGGTGCAAAGGGCCAGGTCTTGAAGGCTGTCCAAATGGGTGAGTATTTCATCTGCTACAATTAAAGGCAGAGTTGGAAGGAATGTATGTGTGTGTGTTTACATTTCCACACTGGACACTGCAAGGCTGGGACTAAAGTCTTCAGCTGTTCACAGGGAAGTGACAGATTAGAGCAGGCTCAGAGCTATAAAAATGGTTTAAAGAACTGAGAAATATTGCTACTGGCACAAGACTTCAAAATCTTGTTCTGCCTACGATTTTTGTCAAGGTGAGACCATCTGTTGCTGAAGAATAAAAGGAAGGGATGGAAAAAGAAAGGATTAAGGACAGAGAGAGATAAGTTTAGGACTGATACAGTTACCCGTGTTACAGGAGACTCAGAGATGCAGAGGGTCTTTTCCAGCCCTGTGACCTGTACATCTCCAAATACTGTGTGCCCCATTGGATTCTCATTCATGACACTCAGTCTACATTTTATATCACACTGTTTGGCTTCATGATGTACTCAAGGTGATGCAACAAGCAAACAGTCTTCTCTGACTGAGAGTGATTTAGTTTCTGGCCACAAAGTCATGCTATGGCAAGATAAATTCACCCTAGAAGTACTGTTAAAAACTGACTGCATTTAATAGCAATCCCTGGGGCAACTTAGAAAAATGCTGGGAAGAATCTCTAAGTACAGACCAAAAAACAACCTGGGAAAACAGGTTTTCCTTTTCAAGTTAAATTTGCAATTACCCAGGCTCTAATAAAGAGGCAGCAGTCCGTGTGTACAGTGGGAATGGTACACAATACCTTTGTACTTGTAAGGAAGACCAATGATCTGACGTTCACTGTGACCCTTACAGCGTGCCCCTTTTCCCCTTCAATATGGGGAGATATCAGCTGTACTGCTGGTATCACAACTGTGTATGCTTTTCTGAGAGGCCTTCTCTCCACATGTTTCATGTCTCTGATCACATGTGGGCTGCCCACAGCTGGCACACATAGGCAGCACAGATCTGATGCTCATGCACTTGGTGGGTTTGATGGATGGAGGAGAAGTCCCCTCACTTAAGCTATGAGGGAAGTTGTGAGTTTGAGGGAAGAATGAAGACTTGTGATTTAAGCCCAGATGGAAATTAAGCACCACTTTGAACAGATTACTGGATGAGGGACTTAAAAATACGGGTGCCCAAAAATCTGAAATGTCAAATAGGCTTATGTGAGCATCCAGAGTCTGTTTGATCAAAACATAAGGCTTCCTGCAACCTCTGTAGGGCTTCTTTAAAATCTAACACCTAAGAATCTTTTCTCTTTCTGCCTCCCCTCCCATGCTGCAGCTCCAAGATCCCCTCTATCGCCGCCGGTGTTGTCGGAGGGCTCCTGTGCCTGGTGGTGGTGGGCCTGGGCATCGGCCTCTACCTGCGGAGACGCCACATCGTCAGGAAGCGCACCCTGCGCCGCCTGCTGCAGGAGAGGGAGGTGAGCACTGCCAGCCCCCGCTTCATCTGGTCCAGTGGGCTCCTCCTCCTTGTGCCAGAGGCGTAAAGCACCCTGCATCTGTATCCTGCATCCGTGTAGCTCAGCAATCCCTCGGGATGGGAAATGCGGCAGTTGCCACACTCCTCAGGAAAGGAGCAGCATGCACCTAACACCTTCTCAATATCAAAGCTGATCCCTCTGCATATAATTTGCAAAATATTTAAGGGATTTGGATGTCTCAATCCCAAGGAAAGTCATTGAGATTGTCTAGGCAGAAAAAACTACACCTTCAGGCTGAGGTGCAGTGTGTTGGCTGATCCATACTGCCTTCCTGTGTAGACCTTCAGCCTCATATCGTGAGTCCCTCCAGACAAGCTTTGAGGCTCCTGTGGCAGCTTGGGGTGCTTTTGAAAATATTTTCCCTTTGATCAGGTGTGTGCCTGATCCTGTGGAAAAAAAGGAGAGGAGGGAAAGGAATTGAGGAAGTGTTTGGTTTGTTTTTAGCACAAAATGTCCACAAAGCCATCAAAGTGAATGGTTCACTCTGTTAGGCATGAACAAGGCTTCTGCACTGCTCTTTGTTTTTGTGTGCATTACAGCATCACCCTCTGGATACCTCATATACAGCAAAATTCCTAATCCTGTGTGGAAGCTGCTCTTTTGTGGTTAGCCCCGTTATCTTTCTAGTCTGATTCTAGCAAATTAGACAATTGTTTTTAATATTCTGCTAAAAACCCAATTGCAGCTTCATTTTGTAATTGCCAGCTTTGCAGAGTCAGCTGCTAATGTCCTTAAAAAAAAACAAAAAAAAAGAAAAAGACAAGCTGGCTTGTTTTTCATTGCACTATGAAACTATATTTTACATACTGCTGTATTCTGCAGTTGTGATAGTAGAGTTCAATTTGTGCTCAGCTCATATTGTACCCTCTGGACTCCTCAAAATGAGGATATTTCATCACAACAGAGAGGCTGCTGGTCCTCTAAAATCAGATTGAATCTAGCTAAATATGGTTTTATTCAAAGAAAAAACAGAAGGGAAGACACTAAGGAAAAAGCTGACTTATGCATCATAAAAGCGTTACATATCTTTAGAGGGCATTACCACAACGTGCAACAAGGCTAAGATAAAATTTTGAAAAAATCAATAGGCAATTCAACATCCTTTTTCTTTGAGAAAAGAACCACTGTCAGAGTTTCAATTGCTGCTTGTACACTGCGTGATCTGAGGGAACCACTGGTACCATGGGAATTTTATCCAGTTAAACAAGAGCAGACATGAAAGGTTGCAGGTGATTCTTGCCCATTATTTTAAACATTTTAATAATTTATTCACAAGTTCAAAACAAAAATAATCTCCTTTAGCATCTGCGGTAATTACATTATTTTTCATGCCATGTGTTTCAAGGCTTTGTAGTCATAGCCTCCATTTGAGAAGAGGTATTCCTTCATTCTCCTTCAAAATGGCACCTGCCACTCTATGCTTGATTTTTGGAGCAGGTATTTATTCCTGCAAGTCATAGCAGAACTGGCCTCCCAAAAACTTCACATGGAATCAAATGTTCATTATTTTAAAGGAAGGACTTATTTGCTTCCTCAAAGTGTTCAACCTTCCACACTGTGTAACCTTCTAACATCATCTTCTCTCTTCACCAGCTTGTTGAACCACTGACACCCAGTGGGGAGGCACCAAACCAGGCTCATCTGAGAATTCTAAAGGAAACAGAATTTAAAAAGGTCAAAGTTTTAGGCTCTGGAGCTTTTGGCACTGTTTATAAGGTAAGATCATCATTTTTCTATTCCCCTCTTCACCCTGTTCCCTCCTGCAGAAGCTGCCCAAACAAAGCAAGAACTGGGAGCTTCAATCATTGTGTAGATTTTTTTTAAACTAGATTTTATGGCATGTATCTATCTATTGAAGGGTAGAGAGATTACTCAATCATCATTAGTTTTGTTAGAAATTGGCTAACAGGAGAAGGTTTACATAAAATGTTACCAAAGTCATACTGCTGAACCTGGAGAACAAAGATCATGACTTTAAAACTACCACAGTCAGATATGTCCCACTGTAAATATTAAGAAGAAAAAGAAGTGCATTGTGGTTAGCTCAGTGCAAAACCATTTTTTCTGTGTCATCTGAGATCCTTTTCTGTTTTTCAATCATTCTTTCATTAGAACTGATTCAGATGTGTGAAAGTGTCTTCACACCTTCAGTTGTGTAGATTCACAAGTTATTTTTTCTCTTGGTGTTTGTTTATCCTCTGTGCTTCTTCATTAAGTTCCTCCTTTTATTCAGGATATGTGTTTCAGGCTTTTCCATTAACTGTAGTTTCCTATATTTCTTCATAAAGCTCTATGTTCTGGATCAGACATCCAGCTATAATTAGGAACTTCAGGGGCACAAAAAGATGTGCACCTGCACTGATGGGCATTTCAGCAGCATATCCTCCCGGTGCCACACTGCTGACCTGCCACCTAAATGGCCTCCTGACACTTCAGATGTAGAGCACTGCACCAGTGGGACATAGACTCCCTACCTCTCCATGTGTATGACTGGACTGTTTGTACAGTATAGGTGCCATCTGGTTTTAATGAGAAAATGCTAATTATTTTCATCCCATGATTTATAAATTGGAAGTGGCAAGGTTTTGCACATGCAGTTGCTGTGATGCTCTAATTAGTTAGATTTCCATCCACAAATGTTGCTCTTTATGCATCTCTTGGGCTATTTACACAGGCATAGTAATGAACATGTTTTTTCAAGAAAGTATGGTAGAGGTGACTGAAAAAGAAGTACCACCCCATTAACAGGAATTTGGTAATACCCACAAGAGAGATTTTTTGCATATTTTTGTTGTCTTTCCATTGCTCAGAATATTTAAAAGTCTACTCAGAAGATGTAAAATATATGTGTAACTGTGAGAATTAACTTGTTAGGTATGAGACTGAATAACTCTTTGTACTTCTTTTTGGTAGGGACTTTGGATCCCAGAAGGAGAGAAGGTTAAAATTCCTGTTGCTATTAAAGAGTTGAGAGAGGCTACATCACCAAAAGCCAACAAGGAAATACTTGATGTGAGTTTTCCTGTTTGTTTTCTCAAGTTGCCAGTGGTCTGTGGATTTTTTCTCTAACAACTAAAGGGGTTTCAGGAATTTGTGTGGGAAGAAATATTTTGTATCCTAAACTCAATTGTCCATCTAAAAGTTCTGCACTTTGCAGCCCAGTCTGTGAAATGCTTTTGTCTCTCTCATGAACCCAATCCCAATACAGATTTTATACTTGTGGGGTAGCACCTAAGGAGTAGTCAGGACCACACATTTACAGGTAATTATTTTTCTTTTTTCTGATATTTCAGGCCTTAAGCTGTAGCATTCATTGTCATTATAGTGGTACAACTAAGTCAAATAACAACAGACCTTATGATTTATGAATCAGCCCTTTCCCAGGTCCCTACCTATGTGGCCCTCATTCCTGCCCCTCACCAGACTGTGATTCCTCCCTTCACTGGCATTCCCTGCATTGAGGAGCTGGCAGAGATGCTGCTCAGCTGCCTGCCCTGAGCTCTGCCCCACAGTTTGCTCTTCACAGTGATAAGGAGCATAACACAGCGTTCACAAAGGATGCTTTGGACTTAATGGCATTAAATTCCTGAAGGCATGTATCCTGGAGGAAGGGTTAGTTAAAAGCCTACAGTACTTCATCCTTCCTACAGCAGATCAAGATCACCAGACAGGGCAGTAGGTGCAGGGACTGTGTGCTCTTGAGTGGTATCAAAGTGCATTCTCTTCTAAAAGAAATTTCTGTAGCAAATCTCCACATTATTTTTTCCTTCGAATTAGGATGCTTATCAAAAAGCTCTTGCTTTTCCAATCCTGTTAATTTTTAGATAATTTGGTTGATGGAACTCTGTATGTCAGAACTAAATTTCAAAAAATACAAAACTACTGAAAGAAGCCAGAGGGATGATTCAAAAGCACTTCTCAAAACAGATTTTTGCTACACAACCAATTTTCCAAGGTCACTGGAACCTCAAAGATAATAATGTCTAATTGAAGATGATTTGTCTTACGGAATCGCACTAGGTATAGAACAAGCATAGCAGCTTTAGCTCTTAATAATCCAGGCAAGCTCTGGCTGACTTTATTAGGGTAGGGTTAATTCAGAAGGTTGTTGTTAAATACCAAGCATACTTGGAGCAGGTCAGAGCGCACCCGAAGAGATTTCCAAGATAAACAGCTGAAACAAAGACCCACTTTAATGTCTTGGGCTACTTAGAGGGACCCACAACCACACAATAGCTCTGTTCTGCTTTTCAAGGAGGAGGGGGCGGCCTGTTTTCCTTTGCAGTATCAAATGGTGGAGATGATCAGCACATGGATGCTCACTGAAGGCTGTGTGGCCCAAATGCCCACCCTACTCCTGCAGTGTCCTGGTGCTCAGCTCCCAGGTCAGACCCGCATGGGCTGTGTGGCAGATGGGCAGTGAGAATAGCTCCTCCTCTGCAGTCTTCCCCCCACCCTGCCCTGCCAAAATGAATACAATATGGATCTGAATCCCTGCAGGAAGCAAGTCATCCTTCATCATTACAATGGCTCAGTTTGGAAGCATAGGGAAATGAAGTTGTTTTGGTCTCTGCTTATGTATGAGCATTGGATAACAAATTTGCAAGAATTTGTAACAAATGATGCCACAAATATATACAAAGTGAATAGCAGATTGGGTTGCTGCTTTATCTTTCCTTGAGCTAGCCCACACAGTCAGTACTGTCCATGGCAGAGGGCTGTTTTTCAATGGTGTGTCCACATCATGCAGTAGGCAGACGAGCTCTTACTAATTCTGATGGAGATCCTATTTAACCTGTCTGCCTGGAGGCCGTTTTCATCCTGAGGGCTCTGAAACAAGGATAACAAATGCAGAACTACTACCTCAAAAGAGGTTGCATTACATCATGTTTTGCTTAGGCTGGTCCATTAGGCAACAACACAGAGGCCAGAAAGTATTGCTTAAGAATTGGGGTTGCTTATTTCTTAAACGTCACTGCCTTAATAACTTTGTTTAATAATAGTTCTCACCGGCTATGGAGCTATGTGACATCTGTGAAACATTGCTAGATGATGAGTAAAGTGCTATGGTATTTATTTTCTTAAGCTCTTAGAAAGAGCAGATTTGCTCTTTCCCTTGCACTATTCGTGTCTTCGCTATGATTTTAGGCTTTGGGGGACTGCTAGCCTGAATTGCCAAAGGGTGATTAGTAGGAGTTGCTCCAGATACTGAATCAGGATGCTGACCTGCTCACTGAATGGCAAAATTACCATAATTACCATTCATTTCCCCTTGTGTTGCTTTTCAATCAAATCACTCCTAAAATATCTAAATATGACATACTGTAAATCAGACACAAAGTTAGTTAAAGAAACCAAACAACTGCAGCTCTAATTTTTTTCCCTTGGAATCCATTCTTTGAGCTGGCACTTGACCATGGATTTGAGTATAAATACAGATCTCAAATTTCAATCTATAAGTAGTTTTTGCATTAAAAAACCATGAGATCAGGAATTTTTATCCCCTGGCCATATTAAATAATGTATTTGAACCAAACTCTGAAGGCGTCTTTCCCTTCCCACAGAAGAACAAAAGAAGAGGAGGTATCTTGGGTGTTGTAGATAGGCACCTAAAGCTACACAGGGTGTACCCATATTTGAAAAAAAGAGTTTTTCACATATTTATGAAACTAAACCCCAAAATTCCAGTTGACCAAAGAGTCTGTAATGCTTGAGCTCCCACATTCCAAGTATCTTTCTAGTATAATTCACATTGCTATATGAGTCTAAGCAAGCTTTTCCAATTGAGCGCAGCATTTTCACCATTGTTACTTAAAGAAAAGCATTCAAGCTTGTAAAGCAGTGAACTGATTATTAATCTATTTGGTTTGACATGGAATGGAGAACATGGTCAAGAAGAACATGGTCTCTTAAAGAAAGAGACTCTCAGTCACATTCTAGATGACAGCTTTGACTTTCTGCGTTAGTACCAACCTTGACAGGGGAGCAGAATTCTCAAAAATACTGATTTCCAGTCAGTTTCATTGAATGGTCTGTGAAGAAAAAAGCCATATGACACATGTTCATAAAATGTATCACCCTTTCAATTAGGTGCTCAAAATTATGAAATCCCATCAGCTTCCAGTTGGTGTTCAATTTATTAATTCTTCCTTGGTCTGTAAGTTTTAATCTCCCCAGATTTTATGTCCAGTGTTTGCTTGGTGTACAGTAGTGAGAGACTGGCTCTTCTGTACCATCTCAGTGATGATTTGGTGTTGAAAATCTGGACATTCCACTGAATGAAAAGTAGTCAGTCCACAGAGTGGAAATATGTGTATTTTGTATGTGATATGAGACACAGAGTTTGCATATAGTATTTTAGCAACTTCTTGGATGACCAACTTATTTTAAACTGCCTCCAAATATTCATGTCATGCCAAAGGGAGTGTTTTACATTTCTTTTTTTGCCTTTCTTCTCAGGAAGCTTACGTGATGGCTAGTGTTGACAATCCTCATGTGTGCCGCTTGTTGGGAATCTGCCTCACTTCAACTGTTCAGCTTATCACACAGCTGATGCCTTATGGCTGCCTCCTGGATTACATCCGAGAGCACAAGGACAACATCGGCTCGCAGTACCTCCTCAACTGGTGTGTGCAGATTGCAAAGGTAAGCAGACCAGAACTCCAGATCAGCTAAAACTCAGAGATCTGACAGCATGTAATTACCTGTCTCTGCAAATCTTTCTGGTTTTCACCACCTGGATCGTGGGTATCTTATACATGGCAGTAAACAGTTACTTTTTCTTGAACAATTTACTATTTTCATGCTGATGAGCAAACATTAACTATTCTTCAAAATGCTTTGAGGCAGCTTAGTATTATCACCTAGACATTTATGTCCAAACCAAGCACCCGGTGTTGAAAGGATAATGCGATGCAAATGTGATGCAGCGCAGGCAGCAGGGAAGGCAACAGAAGAATTTGTCAATTTCCATAGCAAAATGCTGCTTCCATCAGTGGATTTCTTCAGGCTATGTCACAGGACAGTGATGTTGAATACATCTTCTTGTGTGCCTCGGAGAGTTTCATGCTGAAATCTGAGGGATCGAAACTGCTGACTACTGAATCCCAGCACTGTCCTTGCTCAGGCTGGGTTTCACCAAAAGACATTAAAGCACCCCACAGCTATTCTGTAATTCATAGGTGCTGAGCTGGGATCTGTAACCTAACTGCAATGGCCATAAAAGTCTCATTATCACACCTGGTACTGTTTGCCAAAGTGCAGCAAAGGAACTGCAATACAGCCTCTAGCCCTTAGCAGCAATATGCTGTGTTTGGATGGTGGTTAGACATTTGCAAGCATGGAAGAACAAAGCAAAACCAGCAAAAAAATAACTGCAATTTCTTGGAGATTCATCATATGAGATGGCAGTGTCCACAGAGCATGGTTGCTTTAATGCTTTTTATTTCAGGAATGCTGGTCTGCAGGAAAACCACACACTTAAAAACTTATCGGTCCCTTGAGGTCTTGTGTACATGCCAGGCTGGCCCAGCCGTGGTTTGCTTTCAGGAAACATGCTGAGGACCTCAGAAATGTATCCACCAAATGTCTATAGAGCACATTTTTCATCTCACTGTACTTTTTTTACATTTTGCTCCACAACAAGTGAAATCTAATTTATGTGTCCACCTGGGATGTGAGTCACTTTTTTTTTGACTCTTTTGCTTTCTTGTTTAAAATCAATTACTGCTCTGTCCTGGCGTCAGTCTCTTTGGAGGGTGAACTGGAGACTATATTTCCCTCCTCCTCTTTCTTCTCCTTGTTAATTTTTAAGGTGGCAAAATGTATCCCCAAATGGGTCCTTGGGGCACTGCTTGCCCGAAAGGTTGCCATTCACAATTGTTTGCTTTTGTTTGATTTTTTCATGGCAGTTCAACATTTGCCCATAGCAACTTCTGCCCTCGCCAGTGATGCCTGACCTTCAACATACTCCTTTGTGCTGCTCCACACTGAACTTTTCCTCAAAGCACTCATAAATCTTATGTACAGCTTTTTCCCACCACTGTGTCTGGTGTTACTACTCTGATAAAGTTATGCCAGATTTTTGAACAGTCTCTGCCTCTTAAAAAATTTACTTATGAGTGAAAAAGAGAATTGAAACAAATACATGTCTGGTAACTAATCAGCAGGAGGCAAGTTCCCTAGGAAGCTTATTTTCATTACTGTTTTCACAGCTTTGAAATAAGTTTTCTTTGCATCTTTTACAAACATTATCTTTTCCTGAGGTATGGAGTCCTCTCTTCCAGGCAAGATGTTATGATAGCATAAACACTCCATGTGTAGAAACACTGAAGGAACTCTTTGAACACAACAGTCTCATGCTTAGTGATGAAAAATGGATTAAACTCCAGGCCTGCACACAATTAAAGATCTGCTGAACTTTCTAAGCCAGCAGTTCAACATTTTCAGTGTATGGTTATGCACGTGCATGAGTCTTCAGCCATCAGCGCCCTAAACAGCTTAATGTGACACTGATATTCTGCCTTTCAGCAGCTCTGAGTCTTATTAGCCCCTGCAGCATAGCCCCTGCAGCTAGTCAATTTTAGCAGGACATTTTTTGTCCTACTGGGGTTAGATAATGCAATTATTATATTTTTTAAGATAGTCTGTTTTCTGTCAGGAGCTCAGAAGTTTTTGTTCCGAGAGCTCTGCTTGCTAAAGATCTATTTGTGTGATTCAGTGCACGCTCCTAGTGGCACTGTGCCAGTTTGTTTGGGTAGTTTGTTTTGGCAGCATTGGCAGTGCATGAGTGAAGTTCTGCTGAGGGACTTGGAAGGAGGATTTGATGGTGGTCCAGCTTAGAAGTGTGCTTAGGAAGTGGGTGGAGGATGGAAGGCTATTATTCCCTCCAGTCCTCTACCACCACATCAACATGATCATTTTGGTGCTAACTTTGTAGGCTAAAAGTAATTTTTTATCAATTCTCTTCATAAAAATACAAGTGCATAAGCTACCACCAGCAGAAATGCATGGACTGGGAATATTAGTGGGTTTTGGAAAAAATATTGCAGGAAACTTGGAAATCATTAACTTTTTGATTCCATATACCAAGAGACTCGTGTTGAAGGAAAGTGGAGTAATCTCTGTGGTCAGAAACACAGCTGTTAAATTTATGCTTTAGAAGTCAAACCAGCGCAATTAGTTCTATTCTTCCTTGAGAGGCAGTCATACCAAAAAAGCACGTATGCTATGGCAAATCCAGCCTAATCATGGGAGGCAGTGAAACTGGAAGAACTTGCCTTTTTCAAAGAGAACTGGAAAATGGATGCAGCTCTTGAGTTCAAACTTAGAATTATTTTTTTTTTGTTTTCCCCTATTTTTACATTTGCAGTGGACTGCCTCATTGTTAGCAGGGAGAAGGCAGAGTATGCTGCCTGTAATAAAACACAGTTTGAGCAACTTTGAGTAATTGTCTACATACTCTGTGTAGGGTTGGTGTGCGTACATAATGGCAGGGAATAGTTAAACTCTGTACTGTGCTCTCCTGAACTCATTGGGTTTGCACAAGTGCAGCCAAAAGAAGACTTCGTCCCTTTATTTGTAAGTTCCATCCTGATTTAGTATTTCTTGAACTAAATCCTAAAGGAACCAGATCCCCTGCTGCTATCTATTCTACCCACTACTGCATCTTTTTCCTTCATCACTACACCAGTGCCTGCACCCACAAGAAGGTTTCTGCAGGGTAATAGGAACAGTCAATAATATTACAATAGTAACACTCATCCTCGCCCTGCAATAAAATTAATGTAAAGGGAGAGTGCAGGTGGGATAACATACCACGTGTTTATGGTGGTGTCTGTAGTTACCACAAAGCAGCTGACGTTTTGTGACTTGTCTGTCCCAGCTCTGAGTGCACGAGGCCTGACCAGCAGTGTGTTTGCTACCTTGCAGGGAATGAACTATCTGGAGGAACGGCGCCTGGTGCACCGTGACCTTGCTGCCAGGAACGTCCTTGTTAAGACTCCTCAACATGTGAAAATCACGGACTTCGGGCTGGCAAAGCTGCTCGGTGCAGACGAGAAGGAATATCATGCTGAGGGAGGCAAGGTAAAGCACGCTGCAGAATGAACTACTGAGCATTTGCCGGTGTTTGTGCTTGCACACAAGCCTCAAACAAAGTTGGGGGGAAGAGAGCATGTTTTTCAAAGCTCTCAGCTGCCATCTCAGCATGCTGCCTTTGAAGCCTGTGGAAGTCCTCTGAAATCAGCCAAAGCAGCATCAGGCCAGTGGGACTGCAGTGGGAGCAGAGGTAGCAGAGCAGCAAATGCTTTTGAAATTCCCACCCAGAAAGTCTGGGAAAATTCATCAGTGTAGCCAACACCAATAAGACTGTGCAGTTTATAAAGAGAAAGGGAATGTTGTATATTTATAGCAGAAGAAAGACCTGTCAGACTTGGTTCAACATGCTTTCGTGTTGTACTGCGTGCTGATGGAGAGAATGTGTCCTGCTGAGAAATTAAAGAGAAGCTGCTTGCAAATATTGCAGAGGCCATAAATAGAAACCATATGAGTGTAGATCAGTCATGTAGCCTAAGACTGGATTTGTGGCCTGTTCTGATAGAAGGCTAAAAAGTAGTTATTTGACTGTTAAAAATATTGTAAAATTGTTTAGTAGTAGATATTTCTGATGCCCTTAGTATTCCACATGTTTTCAGATTCTTCATAATATATGAAAATAATAAAGGGGAACTCAGAAGTTGCCTGTTCTACCATTCAGATAGATCTGCTGGCTGGTTTTGGCTTTTTTCCTTCTGCAACCAAATTATTGATTTACACACCACCTGGTGGTAAATATCTCTGATAAATTTTAGGTCATCTTCTTAAGGATTTTTTGTGAATTTTCCTAGGTTCCTATCAAATGGATGGCATTGGAGTCAATTTTACACCGGATTTACACTCATCAAAGTGATGTCTGGAGTTATGGTGAGTTTAAAAGCGGTTACAATTATTGCAGATGGGTTGGAAAATTTCATGATTTGCTGGTGACTCTATACTGGCCTTTTTACTTTGTATTGTGAGAAGAACAAGAGATCAAATATATAAACACAGTGCCCAAATCACCTATTCAACAAGTAAAATCCCCATGAAACTGCATGTGAGTGAGGCGTAAGATGTTTCACAGAATATGCTTTGGGTAATGAGCCCTCCCCTGAAAGGGGCCACAGGTAGGAGACTCTGGTCTATTTGCTGAGGTTCTGTTAAAGTTTTTCTTCAACAGCTTCACATGAAATATAATGGAGCTGGCAACAGAGACGGGTAGCTAGGAGGACTTAAAATCACACTATCAGTGAGTGTCAATCAGTGTAACTCTGCTGAGGCCTGAAATGCTTATGCTGTCCTGGTACTGAGAGGACAATGCTAAAAGGGAAGCAGTATGATAACCTCCTTGGAGAATTTATTTTGTATTTGGTTTGTTCATAAAGCCAGCTTGAAGAAAGGAAAGCTTTGTTCATAAAGCCAGCTTGAAGAAAGGAAAGCTTTGTTCATAAAGCCAGCTTGAAGAAAGGAAACTTTTCAAAACAACCTATTGCAAAATTTCCCCCCCATGGGCTCTTATATTTCTGGAAAATATTTAATGCAGATGGTCAGATCCTATGTCCTTTTTGAAACTGTACAGCCTCTGGTCTTCTTAATCCATTTATGAATCTTGTTTTGTATCCTAAGCTACTGGACAATCACAACAGCTACATCACAAGAGTCCATGGTATGTCAGCAAATGACGCTTAGGCAGCTGGTTTACACGTCTTTCAAAAACTGCTTCTGCTCGTCTCCAGAGAGATTGTTTTCAAACAAAAACAGAACTTCCATTTTTAAAACCATTTGCTGTGTTGCAGTTGAGAGACAGTAACCTGCATTTCCTTTCTGTGGGGCCAGGAAGTTTGTAGAGTGTTAAACACTAATATATTAACTGAGATTAAAAAAAAAGAAAAGAAAAAGTAAGAAAGCAAAATCTTAAGCAGGATGATTTCAAAGTGTTATATTAATCTCTCCATAAAATCATGGCAGAAAATGGTTTCTCAGGTTGGGGTTCTAGCAAAACACTGCTTCCATGGGACCCCTCTCTGCTTGCCACTTCTCCACACCCAGGCAGAGCAGTCCAGCTTCTGGCAGTCTCTTTTCATAATCTTCTCCTCTTCCCACCCTGCAGGTGTGACAGTTTGGGAGCTGATGACATTTGGTTCCAAGCCGTATGAAGGGATCCCTGCCAGTGAGATCTCCTCTGTCCTGGAGAAGGGCGAGCGTTTGCCGCAGCCCCCCATCTGTACCATTGACGTGTACATGATCATGGTCAAATGTGAGTTCACACCTGGGGTTCTGGCTGCTCATCTGAGTTGAATAAGTAACTCATTTGCATTTTATGCTGCATTTCTGGTAATAGCACAGAAATAGGGTTGTGTGAAATGAGTGGTGACACCAGAGTGTGTTCCCACACCTTGAGCTTTACCTAGAAGCACGGGATGTGGCTTCATGAGTCACTCATTCAACCAGCTAATGTTTTTTTCACCATTCACATCACTGACTGATTAAACTGATATTATTATTATTATTATTAAACCGTCAGGCACTATAAATTAGCATGACACCAACCACTTTGCCTGATACTCTGGTTTTGTATGTCAAGAAAATAAAATCAGCACTGCCTTCTCCTCCAAGCTCTCCCCGCTTGTAATGAAGTAATGTGCTTCCCACTGCAAGCACACAGGTGGATTATTACTAAAGGACTGTTGGGAGTGCAGGCACAATCATAATGTTAGATACACATGAGGATTCAGAGTTCCTTTTCAAAATTCTTCCTCATTTTTGGCTGGTCCCTTTTTGGCATGCAGCTGTTGCAGTATAGTAGCTCAAGAGCAGAGGGTTTCTAAAGCACTTTTTGGCTGGTTTAGGGCACGTCAAAGGGCTTCTGAACCTCAAACCCCCTTTCCATCTGTATCATCTACTAAATGTCAGATTACTACCTGGCTTCCTGCACATCTTTAGGCCATGACTGCACATCCCTGCTCACTGCTATGAGGATGTGATAGGCAGCCCACTAGGTGGCATTTAAGACCTTCTCACTGGAGCAACATGTACCTATTCCTGAAACAGGAGCCACCATGAGTGCTCCGTAGTGCAGCACTTTGGGGAATCCTAGACCACCCACAAATTGCTGTGGTGGGACAAGCATCACACAAGGTGACCCCAATCCTGTGCTCAGCAGGGCAACAGGAACTGCATTCAGAAGTGTACACCTAGCTTGGGAGGTGCCCAGACCCCAAAGCAATGTCCTAGAAACTCCTCCTCAGAAATTCTGAACCCTACTGACACCTCAGCCCCTATCTTTCCTTAGGGTCAGTCCAGATATAGAAAGGAGGCATTTTGCCAGGCACCTAATCTGGTACCTGTCGCTTGTAAAACACAGACAATGGAGTGTCCCCATCCTTTCCATGCCATTACACTGAATTTAAAAGCAAGAGTGTGAGGATCTTGGAGCTGAGCCTTTTTCCTGGCACAGGACTCAGTTGCACATCTTTTGCTGCTCTGGTCACCTCATGTTTGCAGGCCACAGTGCAGACCCTATTGAAGCTATGCCATTTTATCTAAAGGAATTCAGGATTCCCAGTCACCTCTTTTATAATCAGAAAGTATAATCTGAAATGTTCAAAGTTATTGCAAAATAATTACTAATTTTTAAATTTAAAAACTAGCATTTAAATATAGACAACTTATAGATAAAGTCAGAAACAGTAGATTCTACTCCTGCAAGAAAAGCAAACTCCCAAACACTCAATTTTGTCTAATAGCAAGAAGCATTTCTTTTTTAATTTGTGGGGAATTATATTTCTAGCATGCTAAAAAGTCACTGGAAATTATTAGATTTTGTCTAACATGGATGTCTTTGCGTAATGCAGATTTCAGAAGGCCACTTCATTTTCCCATTAATATAGATAGGCTGTTTCTTCTGTGTTCCTCTAGACATACTAAGCTTGACCTTTATTATTTTTAAGTTTAAAAACAAGAGTCTCTAGATCAGCTTATCTGTTAGTTAATTACAGAAAACGTGGGTTTCCTCACTAATATCACATGTAAAACCTCCAGTGTCCATATTTGAAATCTCTTCTAGAATTGATCCAATCTAAGCTGTAAAGACTTTGTTGAAGTCAGTTTACTAATTAAATACAGCTTAGTTGCAGTAATCTTTCAATATGTCTCCAGTGAGGATGTTTTGTATTTTAGAAGACATCTGGTACAGAGGGAGGCTTCTGCTGTAGGCTTCCCAGGACTTTATAAAGCAGTCCAGTGACTGTCAGACAGCCAAATCCTGGTACCTCTGCAGGCACCCATTGGTGTTTGTTTGCTTCCTCTCCTTCAAGAGCTTTTTTCAAAGCAAACTAATTGGGATTATCCCTCAGGTGGGACCTGCCTGCCCACATGGAGATAGGCCAGCAGGAGAGGAGACAGATTTAGCCTGGAGCTTTTCCAGTTTTATTTCTCATTTGTCTTCCCAAAACTGCCAAGATCTGCATTTTAAATGCTGAAATTCACAGCCGTGGCTGATGAATTCACTTTTTATGGTGGTCCCTTAGGGGTAGCTCCTTTCTTTGTTCCACACATGGGACTACTTTTTGCTGTTATATTTTATTTTAAACTCAGTGTTTGATCACGAAGTCAATTTTGTTTGTGCACTGCTTTTCCTGCAGGCTGGATGATCGATGCAGACAGCCGTCCCAAGTTTCGTGAGCTGATAGCTGAATTCTCAAAAATGGCCCGTGACCCTCCACGCTATCTTGTTATACAGGTACTAACCACAGTGGTGGGAAGACCTCTGATGATCTGAGGCCCAAAGTAACTAGTAATGCATATGAGAACATATTCTATGGATAACTGAAGGCCAGATATATTGTTGCTTTACAGGTTTTAACTCATTCAGCTAGAGCCACAAACAAAACACCAAGACTGGTCCCTATTTTCTTAGTACTGGTCTCAGTTTAGCACCAGAAACAGTCCATGAGAGGAGAACAGAATTTGATCCTCTTCAAAATGCAGTTATTTTACAGCAGCATGGACTGAGATTGCAGGCCTAAGCTCCCCAAAACTCTAGATAAATTTGGTTAGACACACAGATCTCTGAATGGGCCATTTATATAAACATTGAACTTGCCTTGTGGGTCCCTTCCAACTCAGAATATTCTGTGAATCTGTGAATCAAGATTTTGCATCTTGTGCCTCTCATTAAATTACTTTGTCTCAGAGAGAAGGGGAGAATGAGGGCTTGAAAGGAGTCTGCAAGTCTTGTCTCATGCTGACTTTTTCACCAGGGAGATGATAGGATGCACCTGCCCAGCCCTACGGACTCCAAGTTTTATCGCACCCTGATGGAGGAGGAGGACATGGAGGATATAGTGGATGCAGATGAGTACCTCGTGCCACACCAGGGCTTTTTCAACAGCCCTTCAACGTCTCGCACTCCTCTCTTGAGTTCACTGGTATGAAAATTTTCCACTGTGGAAACATGACATGCAATTTTAAGAGTGAACTGCTTCTCATAATGTCTGTATTTTCTTTCTCTCTCTTAAGAGTGCTACCAGCAACAACTCTGCTACAACCTGCATTGACAGGAACGGGGTAAGTAGAATGACCTTTAATAAAGGAGCAACTCTTCCTGTGTGGATCAGCTTCTACAAATCAGTCCTTTTAATATTGTTTTTGTCTACTTTCATCCTAGCAGGGGCACCCTGTGCGGGAAGACAGCTTTGTCCAGAGGTATAGCTCAGACCCAACAGGTGCTTTCTTGGAGGACAGCCTAGATGACAGCTTCCTACCAGCCCCAGGTGAATACTTTTCCTGTTTTTCCATCCTATGGCCACTCACTCACAAGCCCTTTGCTTGCAATTATAATAATTTTCCTTCCTTTTCTGTAGAAATGAAGCAATTCAAATGCTTTCTACCTTTTTGGCTCAGTAAATGGGAGTGGAAAAGTGTTCACATATCATTTTTCTAGCCTTTATCTGTCTGCTTCTAACTGTTTCTCATTTCAGTTCCCTCCTGAGCCAGATTCCTTATGTTAGCCATGTGTGCCATCTAGGCAGGAAGTTTGCATGTGTGGTTATATGTTTAACGCTTTCTATTTGAGAAAATACCCTCTAAAAATTTGGTTTCATTTTTTTTTTACCATTTCAGCAATATAAAGAGCGTTATGGCTGTTTCATTGCTTTCAGAATTTAATCCACAGAAGGCAGTTCATGGTTTCATGTGGACTTACAGTGTAGGCGGCCAGAGAGAGAGCCAGTGAGCACTTAGGGAGATGGGGCTGGATAATGCAGTGATGATGCTTTGTGTCCTTAAAAAATCCCAACCAACCATTCCAAGAATATGCCATAGCTAAAAAGGGTGAAAGGCCCTGCGAGGAATAGCACTGACGTGAAATGTGTAGTCAGTGTTATTGCCAGTCCTGTATTTTCTAGGCATTTTCCTCATCTCTAAACATTTTTTCCAGGGAAACAGCTTCTGGCAGCTAACCTCCTAAACTGCCATTTCAGAACACTATCTGGGACACAGCCACCCACGCACCACTAAAATCAGCAGTAGCTATCTCACTGTCTCATGGTCCAAGCCATCTTTCTGCTGGTTGGCAAACAAAATTCTTGAAGGTGAACCTCAGGGCAGCATGTTTGGTGCCCCAGAGTGGCAGTCCCTGCCTTTGGCTCTTTTCCACTCTGGGAAATTCTGAGATATGCCATGTGCAAAGAACAAGTGGCAGCTGGGTTGAAATTAAATGCCAAGTGACACAAATGTCTGAATTAATTTTATATCTTCCTTTTCGTTCTTTCTCATTTTAATTTTCTTTTTATTCTAGAGTATGTAAACCAACTGATGCCCCAGAAAGCATCTGCCTCAGCAGTCCAGAATCCAATCTACAACAACTTCTCTCTCACAGCAAACTCAAAGGTCCCCACAGACTCCAGCTACCAGAATTCACACAGCACAGCTGTGGACAACCCTGAGTATCTCAACACCAACCAGTCTCCCCTGACCAAGACAGTGTTTGAGAGCTCTCCCTACTGGATCCAGGCAGGCAACCACCAAATAAACCTGGACAATCCTGACTACCAGCAGGACTTCTTACCGAAGGAAACCAAATCTAATGGTCTCTTGAAAGTTCCTGCAGCAGAAAACCCAGAGTACTTGAGGGTAGCAGCACCAAAAAGTGAATACATTGAAGCCTCAGCATGACCATAGAGAATTTCTTCTTGCAGCAAGGCAAGCTGGATAAGTGAACTGTTGACTGCTGCAAGAGTAGACTCTGGCTCAGAGCAAATGGCAACCACAATGCATCAAAAAGCACCTCTGCTTTTCAGCAAGGGGCTTTGAAACTGCAAAGCCTGTCTGATGGTAGTTTGGATCTTTCCTTACCCATTTCCATGTAATAACTGAGGCCCATAGCTTGCACTCAGATGCATGCTGGGATGGAGCAGGATCTTCCTGGACTGAAGAAATATGGATGCATTCCTTTCATTTTCAAATGGTAGCATGGTAAAAAGCCACTCTGGGATGAACTCGAGAACTGTACACATTGTACAGTCAAATTCCTTTCTACATTCTGTATTTTTATAAATGTTTCTAACAGAAGTTTTGGATCTTTTACAAGATCAGATGCTTGTACTGCTCGTCTGCTAAGTGTTGCTCAGATCACCAGCAGAGAAAAGAATTATGTTCCAAACCTCCTGGAACTGAAACTGTTATTCCAAGCCACTAGATTTTTACAAATTGGCTCCATATACTGCCTTTTGGCCCAAAGGTGAGAAGTGCATCTGAGGGACGTGTGGGCAGTTCTGCCCAGGGCAGTATGGAGTGGATTGGTCTGGGGAAAAGTAGCACAAGGAGCAAAATGGCACAATGCATCACCTGCTGACCACTACTGCTACAAACTGACAAGAGGAACACACCTCCAAGTCACCTATACATGATTATAAAGTTGCTCACTAGTCTGTTTTCTGATGGTCAAACCCAAAACTTTTTTTTGTTCTGATCCCTTATGCAGCTGTCAAGTTGTCAAAATGCCTTTCTCCTTCAACAAAACTGTTAAAGATGTTGCCGTAACTGAAAAACGAAGTGTCAGATAATGTTTAACAGACTTCAATTAAATGTCAAGGAAATGCAAATAGTGGCAAATTGGAGCACTCACGAGACAGACTGGAAGAACTACACTAAATTAAACTTGACTAAGGCAAGAAACACAGGTAGTTCTGGCCGAGCAGCTTTATTTCCCATTTTAAAGGGACTCAAAGCAGAAATCATTTTCCCTTATGCATTTGGCAAAGAAAAGGGGTACTATCTAAGCAGTACATTTCACTCACTTCAAGGCAAAGTACTACCAATTGTTGTCCCAGGCTGGGGCAGAGGCTGGAGCTGGTTACATGTCCCTTTGGGGTTAATATTCTGGCAATGCAGGAGGAGCAGTGAGAATGAATTAAGGAAAGAAAGAATAATCTAGAGTGATGGAAAACATTATCTCCCTCTTCTGAAGCACAGGGTTACCTACTGCTTCTTTGAAATATGCAGCATCATCTTCTGGTTATTAGTGTGGTATAGGTAGGCAAGGCAATGCTAAGATTTTGGCTTGACAGTATAAATCAGTCACAGCAGGAAAAGCAGCTACTCTTTCCAGTGACCCATAAAATTATTCCATCACTAACATTTCTTATGAATGTAGGAGGAATAAAGTACCTAAAGTGTGAATTTAGTCAGTCCTTTAGATGCATCCCACCAGCAGCTTGGCAGTGCTATTTTAATCAAACCACTAGATCAGAAAGCAAATTCTCATTTGGGGACAAAGGCCCTTAACTAGTTGAATCTTGGCATCTTGCTTGAGGGTAGCATAAGCAGCTGACTTGGAGAAGATCTGTAGTCTGTATTAAGTAGCAAGAAACAGTCAAATTTATGCTGCTGCTGTGTTTAGAATACATCATTATGTGTTTCAGTTTAGGTATTGCATCTGAAGTCCAGGATCAAGCAGCAAATCCTTGGAGCACTGTTTTTACGGATTTACCGAGGAAAGGAAACCTTCAGTCATGTGAAATGAGCCCTTTTTAAAGTAACATGCATTAGCAGTTTGTATGTGTACAGCTCATGGGTGCCACTACAGTACAGGGTGAAGTGCCATGTTGGGTCAGAATCCAGAGATTGCTCTGTTTGGTAGATGTGTCTCACCATGGCCAAGTCCCAGACACGGCAGTGTGGAAGATGCAATGTTTGACTTGGATTATCAGTGGCTTTTATTTAAAACAGTAACCAAGATTCAGTTCCCATGTCCAATTAGCAGCAGATTTCTCCTTGCATTCCTGGGAGCAGATTTGTTGTGTTGCTCTCACAAGTGTGCAACATGTGCACACAGGCAGTGCTGCTTTCCCCCACCCACTGCCCTGGCAGAAATGTACATAAAACTAAAAAAAGATCTTAACAGAATTCACAGATAATTTTTCAGTTTGCTGAAGTTGTTATGCCTCCAAGCAGAACACTAGAAAATCACATAGTGCATATTCTCCCACAGAATCTTTCAAACACTACTGCACAAAGGAATTTACTGATTTTAATCTGTTTAATCTGTTAGCTAAAACAGGAAAGCCACTGAGAAATAGCATTATGTATCACCAGCATTATGTAGCATGAATAGAGGTTAATGCTTGCCCTTTTAAAACAATTCAGGAGGGATTCAGTAGCAACTCATTGCTAGAAACAAGGAGATTCATCTAAAAATTAAGCAAAGTTCGAAAGAACATCTCTCTTTGAATGTCATGTTTTTGATGAAAAAAGTAGGAAAGAGGATGTAGGACCACAAACTCTTGATACAAATGTAGATTCCAGATTGGCGGGATCAACTATATATTGTGAAGTATTTCTGGTACATGGCATCTTGTAAGCCATGATTTGTAAGTTGGCAGCTCAGTAATGATTCAAAAGCCAGCAAAAAATAAAAACTAGGTAGTGCCTGCAGGGGCAGATAGAGTGGCACTGGGAGCAGATGGGATTGTGCAGCAAATGGCTGTGGCTGGAAGCACAGGTGCTGTGCAGGGTGATGCTCACAGGTAACAGATAATAGCAATATACCAAATCATTTCCACCAGGATTAAAAAAAACCAAAAAACAAAACACAAGTAAGCAGCAGAAATGCCCTGGTTTTGCCATTGCAGTTCACTGAACATTAAACAGCAAGGAGATCCCAGCAGATTGTGTGTGCTCATACAGGAGACCATGGTTAAGCAGCATAAATCAACATCCAGAAATAACTTGAAAGGTCAGCTGGAGGTGTGGGTAGAAAAGGCTGATTTTAAAGACACAGCTAAATAGGGAAATGTAGCATTCTGAAGCCTCTTCTGAAAGCCAACAGTCTTACCGCTTGAGAAAGATAAAATTTCCCTTTTACTGTATTTCTCATGGAAGACCAAATAAAACATAAGTTAGCCTTAGCATCTATCATAAAGCTGTAGTTATTGCAGAACTCCTTTTGCAATAATAATTTAGGACTTTTAATAACTTCTAAGTGTATGAAAATGTAATTTAAGAGTCTTCATCTTACTTTGATCTTTTGCAGTGACTGTGTGCAGTGTCAGTGCACTTGATTTCATTGTGGGCCTTGGGTTGTTTTCTTCTGCTGCAAGGCAGTTGATCTGGGAAATTTTCTTCCTCTTGCAATTGATTTTGTTGAGTAAATTCATCCAGAGGCCAGGGGCTTGCTGTTGTTCCCAGCTGACAATCAACACTGAAGTAAGCTTTTTTAGAGAGAGCGGTTGGAAACAGATGGTGGTTTCTGGAATGCCTTGGGGTGATGCCCCATCCCACCAACTTCACCATGACTTGAAGCCTGCCCTAGCATTAGGAAATGTGGTCCTGCAGTTTGTTTGAAAGGAAGGGACTTGTATAGGAAGAGTAATGCCAGGGAAGGGCTGCAGCTGACCAGTCCATACCTGAGACAGCTGCTGAGTTTGCACAGGGACATCACTGAGGCCATTGACTGTTCCTGCAGGTACAGTGCTCCTGTCTTGAACCCAGCTTGATGTGAAGTGGGTTGCAGAGACTGCTGGTGTGAAAACCAATGTACATGGCATTTGTACTACAGGGGGTATCTCTTCTCTTCCCTGGGGGCGTAGTTAGGGTTACAACAATGTCACAGGACCCCAAACAGCTTGAAGAAATCCCATCAAAAGGTGCCTGGGGTGTTCTTGGTCTGTCTGCGGGTGCTCCAGGTTGCCAAAAACAAACTTTGCATTTCCAAACAAGGGCTCATTTTTCACATTCAACATTTTCTGTTAGTATGACCACTGCCTGTCAAATGAGCAGTTACGGTACTCTGGCCATTGTTTCCCCCAAAGCTTCTCTATGAGAAAACACTTGAATCAGGACAAAGTATGAAAATTTACCTGTGTCCTCCTTCTTGGTGGAAACTGTATACTCATGAAATGTCAGACTGTGTACAACACTTAGCAGGAGTGCTTTGTAATGTTTTATCACCACTGGTTCAAATTTTTATATTGGGATCCCATTTTCTAGCTTTCTTCTTATAAATGTTCCCTCTTTGTTCTGACAGACAACTTTCAAGAAGCCTTTTTAAATAATAAAAAAAAATAGAAAAAAAAAGTTTATGCAAAAGAAAAACTTGACACCTTCAAGTAGCTTGTCAAATGGGCTGCATTAGGACCAAAGATGTAACGTCTTGTTTTCTTGCTTTAAAGGAATAAGGTATTGATCACCACTTCCACAGCCTCTTTTTATAGAAAAGAGCTACAGAACTCCACCCTTCATTGGGGCAGGGTCAGACCTCCACTGAGCAGAGACTTTGGCAGGAGGGTGAGGCCTGTCCATAGAAAACCAAACTGAATATCAGGACCATGTATCACTTCAGGGCCAAACCTACAACCTCTGCTCTGTATTGCACTTAATGCAATATCTAAACAGAGACATAGCCAAGAAAAAAGAAGCAAAAGAAGCCAAGAAAAAAGAAGCAAATGATATTTTGGCTCAGTATCAGAAAAAATACGATGATGTGAAGATGAGGCATGATAAAATAACTTCTTTGTGTGAGGAAGTGTGTAGGCAGGCAGTGAGACTTTAAAACAGTAACACTTTTGGTTATGTATTACTTTAATTATGCAGGACAGTTGAAATCACGGAGCTTCCATGATGTGCTTTGCTTTCTGCCATGTTTCCTGCCTGCTTTTGATGTCTGGTGTTAGGCAGATCACCACCTCTATCACCATGGCTTGTGTGGACTGAGAATTGTGGGTCCATGCAGTCCTTCTTTTTATGCAGGGAGAGAAAAGTGCAGCCATAGTTGGCTGTACTACAGTTAGTGATCAAGCTAAGCACTCAACAGCATCCAAAAATGGCTTTCCCAAGGGAAAAAAATGGTAACTGAAGACCTACCTGGCAAAAGACACAGCACTTGTTGCACTGATGAAGTCAGCAGTCAGAATGTTGAACACCTTCAGCCAAGATTTGGGGCTGGTGTTCCATCAACTTTGCTGTCATCTAGCATGGTGCAGATGGGGTTGTCTGGATGTGCAGCAGCACAGGTCCTATGGTCTCTTTCTATCTTTCACTTTGAAGTAATGGATTTTTCTGATTAATAAGGTGAAAACCAGAAACCAAAAGAAAGAAAACCAGAAATCAAAAATGCCTCTAACAACTGGACTGGTAGAAGGTGTTGTTCCTATACAGCCAATACAGTACATAATTTCCAGTCAGGCTGGAATTTATCTCGACTCTTCTCCTTACCTCCCACAAGCTAGCTGGAGAGTGTGCATTTGCAACCACCATCAATGTTATCCTCATATTTTATTAAAGGGAATAATCAAAGTAGTTGTCTACAATGGTAGGAGGCTTGGCTCATATACCTACATTCCCTTTTTAATCCTACATTCCTAATTGTGTTCTCCTTGAAATTAATGAGATGTTTAAATTGATTACAGTGAGAGTATAAAACAAGGCTAATGTTGAGTGATTTTTGAAAATCCCTCACAATAATCAGAGATCCTATGGATCCATTGCCCATTTTAGGCTGCTTTGTATTGATGCAATCAACCGAATATAAGGTATGATGACTTGGTTTTAATAAACTGTCAAGCAATATATCCACAGATACAGATGGTACCTTCAGAGCATTGTAAAGTTACTCAACTATGAAAGCACTATTTGTAAAATAAGAAACTCTTGACTTTTATATGGTTTAATGGTTTATACTGTTGATCAAAGATTGTTTGTATATGAGCGATGAAAAAATGAGGTGTATATTATTCTTTTTAATTGTTTTTAATTTTTGGAGGACTTTTATTGTAATATACTGTTGTATTTGGGGGGAACAAAAAGCAGTGGCTAGCTTGTAGCTTGTAGCCAGAGGAGAACTCACAGTAAGGGTTCTTTATTGATGGACTTAGATTTTTTTTTTTCTGGTAAAATTTGTCACCTTGGGGATTTATCCAGAGCTTAGTGAAGCTAGTAACAGCACTCTTTCCTCTCTTCAACAGCACTCTTTTCTCTGCATGCACAGTGCTGGAGTTTCATAATGTGAGCAATAATACAGGCAACCCTTGTGACCAATGGAAGTGCAATATGAAAGCCCAGGTGCTGCTTATCAGGGCCTAGAAAAAGCTGCTCTTTTATGTGTCAGGTTCCCACTTCACTTCCATGACAAGAGCAGAAGCAGAGTGAAAGCAATCCATCAAAGGCTGATCTATGTGGCATATGAAGCCATAGTGTTGGCCATTTCCAAAGTACATAGCTAAGGCAAAATAAAGTCTCAACCAGAGTTACACTGGTGACTTGAATTGTTGTACTATACTAGTCAGGAAGAGAAATTCTGTTAGTGAAGGCAGCCAAATGAAGCCCCAGTGTACCCTGAGTATGTGTATTTAACATCCAACTGGTGGAACATGTGGCTGACAAAGATTAAAGGAATTGCAGGGTCTTCAGCATAACAGCAAAATACACAGCATTGGCAAGACAGTAAAGAGGAGAGGAGCTGGAATTGTCAGTATACATTCAGCCTGGATAGGTCCCTGGTATCACAATTAGTAAATGAAATAATTTTTGTCTTTATAGATTAATTTTGTACACAGGAAAAAAAAAAGCCACAATAGCACCTTTCTCATTTTCATCTTTCCATCCAAACCCTTTCAGTACATAGGCTGCATGTTTTACCAGCTCTACCTATTTTATGCAGAAATTATGTAGTCTTAATCTTCATATTACTGGTTCTCAGAAATGTCTAATGCGTATTAATGCATGATATTTTTATTTTAATAAAAGTAATTAAATAAATATTTGCTCTTTTGGCACATGATTCCTTCCCACCCACCCCCACTTCAAAATCCCACTTCTGGTTTGAGAAGATTCTAGATAAGTTAGTATTGCTCTGAAGAAGAAAATTAGTATCAAAAAGGAAATTGAAATATACATTGTACATCTATGCTCCTCCTCTGAAGATCAGAAAGCAACTTGTAGATTTATAAGTCCTTATCTGACAGGAAACTGCTGTTGTCTGTATCTGACAGAGGCAGAGCAATGCTTTTGCATTTACCCCAGAGGGGTGAGGACCCTGACTTGCTAAATCCCACTTTTAAAGCATCAAAAGAGAGGAACTTAAAATGAAGAATGGTATAAGTATAGAAAATCGTGGGTGTTTGAGAAGGATGAGCATTCAGAAATTCCACTGAGTTCAGTGCAGTCAACTTCAAATAAACAGAAAAGTGACAGAGGGTGCAAGAATAGAAGACAGCCAAAGAAACACAGCTGCAGTTTAACCTCCCTATCTGCCTGCACAGGAAAAGGCAGATTAAGATAAGATATAGAAAATTGCTATTAAAAGATAGGAGAGGAATACAAGTCTCTTCCACAGGCTCCATCATTATTAACAGCAGCCCTAAGCAAGCCTTACCCTTTGGCACTCCTGACCTCAACCCAGGAAAAAAACAAAGCCAGCCTTTGGGGAATGAATGCCCAATAATTACATCAGAACGCATCAGAAATGTACAAAGGAACCAGTAAAAGATAATGTGCCCTGAGGAGGCTCACAGCCACAGCTGGACCACCTACCATGGCACCTGGGACAAACCCACATTCCTACAGCACTGAACATGGAAGGGCTTCACCACCATTGAGACTGCTGAGACTGTCACCTTGCAGCAGTAACTCGTCACAAATGGCCTTGTTCATTCTTGTCCACAGGCTGCTGACTGGGGCAAGGCTTCTGCAGCAGCATTTGATAAGGGGTGTTTGTACCAGGCATTGGTCTGGCAAGAAAGAGGGGCCTTGCAGTTGCCAAAGGTGCGGGGTGGGAACAGCAGTGAAGGTGACAGCTTCCTTAAAATGACATTATGTTTGCTGGCTGAGATGGGGTCTGTTCTTTTGTCAGCAGCCTCCTGCATCAGACCCATGGCAGACCCCCAGGAGGGGTGCCACTGGCACAGCAGCCATTCAGGGTGCTCAGTAGGGTGGCTGATCTTGCTCCCCACAGGGCCTGCTTGGAGCCCATCTGTAAACATAAATGGAGGAAGTAAGGCCCCAGTCCCACAATGTGAATTATTGCTGTTTATTTGAAAAAGGAGCTGCTATTGAAGATCAGGTGGTGCTTTAAATTGTTTGTTGGGAATTTAAATCTTTTTAATAAGTACCATCTGTGTGAAGTTCAACACCAGAGCTCTCGTTGCAGAAATCCTTTTACTTGAAAACCTGTTTTCTTTCTAAAGAGAGCAGAAGGAATGTTATTCAATGTGTGTGTGTTAACCTCAGAGACTGCTTTCTCCAGTGAGTTACAGCCCTGAAACTGAACTAGATCAGAAATAGCACAGTAAGTGTTGTTCTTCTTTATCCTGTACTGTATGTATGTACTGTGTGTTTGCACCTTTTATATTTTTCTTTTTTGAAAGCACACAGACTTATGGATTGCTCTAGACTTCACTGGACACTGTCCATCTCAGATAGGAGCAGTGATGATACAAGAGGTGGATATCCTTGTCTCACAGACAACTTTTATTTAGCAGTGTTTGTCCTGGCACCAATTTAGCAAGCCAAAGTACAGATAGTAAAGGTCACAGCTGGTTGTACAGATTCCCATCTAGCTCTTGGAGCCTGTTAAGTCATCAAAAGCTGAGGATCTCTGTGTGAATTGGCTGGTTGTAGGTAAGAAATAAATAGAGCAATGTGTAATTTCTACTGCTGCCCATGGAAGCCAGGCTAGGTCGAACCAAGCCTGGCTCGGCATAAATGTCACAGGAATGCAGCTCTGGCACAGCACAGTGGTGGGGTCCTTCAGGCACAGCCTTTGCCCCTGTGGCCAGACATCCTATGGGGCACTTGTAGAGCACATCTGCAGCTATTTGAGATTTCCCAAAGGAGCCAAAACTTGCAAAGCCCCTATGGGACTACTCCTATTACCCCTGCTTCAAAGAGCAGCAGAAGGAAAGCTAAGGGTGCCCTCTCTTGGAAGGAAGAAACTCTGTCCACAGCACGTGTAGCTTTAAAATAGGTCTCCCAGCAAACCACGCTGAAAAAATGAGCTTGCATAGGCAATTTATTTTCCAGTCCATTTGGAATATAGGTTCATGGTACATTTAATCCAACCTACGTATGGGATGCTGCTAGAAAGGGTTGCTGCAATGTTCCAATGGAAAATTAATCCTTCTCTTTGGCAGCTTAGTTTTAGCAGACTTGCAAGAACTGCATGCACCACAGAGCTGACTTGTGACATGGCAATGTGCATGAAAAGGACACAACCATATCCCTTGGTGACAAGGTACTAGTGACAGCATCATAACAAGTGTGACATCCTCCTGCCCTCAAAAGATCTTGTGCATGTAACTGTGAATAATTCTGTTTCCCCAGTGCTCAGTTACTGGCTTTCTCCATGTCTTGCAACAAAAGCAATATTGTGCAGATGAGGCTGTGAAAAATCTTAAAGTAATGTAAATAGGTTGTGTCAGATAAAAGAGATCTAGGTTCATGTTTGGTTTGTGATCATTACACTGCTGGTAGGAAGAATTCTTCATCCAGCCTTTTTGTATCTTATGGGAATACTCCAGCCTGAGTTTAACACAATGCAGAATAACATTTTTAGAAAAGCCATGGTTTTGCCTAATGCAAACACTGCCTCCATATACTTTTAAAAATTAGTGTATTGGCCCCTGGAGCTTGCTAAAGCAAGATTATTTCTAGTACTTGTTTTGTTGGTTTAGTATCCAGTGGGGATCTGCCTAAAAAATCTGTCCACTTTGTGTTTTACTGCTGTGAATAATGATGCTGGAACACAATTGTAAACAAGCAAGACTTTCAATTATTCTTTGGTTTTGAGTGCTTACCTAACAAACCTAGCTTCCATCAGACATGAGTTGTACCAATGGTAGAAAGTAGCAAAATGTCGGTGTGCAAAAACCTGGGAACATTAACAGCAGAGAGCAATGGGCATGCCCCTGAGGCATGCGTCTCTGCACCACAACATGTCTATAAGCAATAAGTTACAATTCAAGAACACACACACAGCTGCCCTCCTCCCAAAAGTCAGGCTGCTTTCTCCCATCTCATATCAATGCCTGATAAGGAAGACTTTGTATACCTACCGAGCCTTCCCCTTCCACCAAAGAGGAGGCAGCAGCATGGGACACCTTCATAGTTACTTGATGGTCACTTGAAACCAGCACAAAAAGGCAGGCACCAGGCAATTCCTGGGAGAATCAGTGATCTATATGTAATTAAACCAAATGTGATTAGGCAATAGTTATTAGAGGTAACTGACTACAAATTCATCTTTGTAAGCAGCCTTGTCAGCATGCTAATTGCATTGGCTTTCTAAATCTTCCCTTCAATAGAAACTGGTGCAGATCAATAGGTCACTTCTCCCAGAGGGACAGTGCTCACTGGAAAGCTTAAATGAATTATTTAGCCAGAGATGAGCCCATTGAAGTACTGGTGGCTGGGTCAGATCCATCAGAGGATTTCCACCGTGCTAGTTTACAAGGGGGAAGCCAGAGGAAGGAGACAAGAGGGTGTAGGGGACATTCGGACTATCCAAAGAAATCCTGAAGAGACCTTAGAGGGAGATGATCCTGTCTCCTTCGCAGTATGTGACTCATATTTAGTCTTACAAGGACCCTGGGAGGTAGGAAAGCTTGTTACATGCAGGTAATAAAAATAACGGGGTTTTTTTCTTTTTTAAACTTTAAAAAGAATGAGAGAAAGAAACATCCCACCTAGTGTGGGATGGCCTAAGAGGAGGGAGCAAATAGATGTTGGCAGGACTGTGAAGAGCTGTCAGGATAGAAATGCCTATTTTTTAAGGACAGAAAGATAATGTGATGGAGGGTAGAGCTAAGAAGAGGTGTGTCAAAGACTGGTTGACTGATTTGGGAAAACAGGTATTTTCTTTAAGATAAATTTGCACCAGAATTTGGTTGTGGTTGAGTGACCAAAAGCACTTGCACACAAAGAACATTTTATTTCCTAAATCATTAACTAGATCCCTTTATATATGTGTTATTTTTATTTTGCAACAATGGTTTGAGCCCTCTGGAGGTGTTTTGAACAGGATTGGATAGATTTGCTTCTTGGATGGTCTTTTGGACTTGTATTACTCAGTGGAGGACAGTGTAGCAAGGGGCATATGGGGCAGTGCTGCAGAAAGAAAACTGCCTGTCGGTCCTGCCTGGAAGAAGTGTGGGCTGTAGCAGGAGACAGTTTGGAGGAAGTACCTACAGAAGTCAGTTTTTGAGTCCATGCCTATGACTTTAGCTGAGGTGGTGGCAGCATTTTATACAGTTTCTTTATCAAAAGGTCAGTGCAATTACACAAGTATTAGCTCTGTAGCTGAACCACTGACAGGCTGCCAGCTGTTTTGTGCACTTCATGTTTCTTAGCAAGGTTTTGTAGGTACTTAGCACAGTGAGGTCCCTTTGAAATCGGACCCTTAGATTTTGTGGGGGAAAAAAGATCCCAAGTGTGCCTTCTGAAAAGAGATGTTGGGTGTGTACTCTTCTGGTCTCACCTTTCCAAGCAAAAAGGTTTGCACAGCAGGCAGAACAAGCGACAGACATGTATATATCCTCTTGCAGGGTGCAATTTCCTATTTTGCAAGCCTATCACCTGCTCACATAGAGAAGGTATTACCTCGAGGACTCTTTAATGGGCTCAGAGATTATATTTTGTCCTCAATGCATGGTTACGGTGTATTGAAGTTATCATTCAAAATGTTTGCTCAGAAAACTTTCTTGGATGAAAGACTGTTATTCTATTTCAAACTCAGTTAATGATCATGTCTCAAACTTATGCTT